TGGTTCACTCCCCAGATGGCTGCAAGGCCAGAGCTGCACTGATCCAAAGCCAGGAGCCAGGAGCTTCTTCCAGGTCTCCCATGTGGGTGCAGGGGCCCAAGGACTTGGGCCATCTTCTACTGCTTTCCCAGGTCATAGCAGAGAGCTGGATCGGAAGTGGAGCAGCCAGAACTTGAACAGGTGCCCATACGGTATGCCAGCACTGCAGGCAGCAGCTTTACCAACAATGCCACAGCGCTGGCCCCCATTTTCTCTTAAATCCCACACCTAATCTGTAAAGACAAACTATCAACTCTACTTTCAAAATATATTCGGAACCTAACACTTTTTACCACCATCACCCAGTGACAACATTATTCCAACAGCCTCCTAACTGTTCTCTCAGCAGCATTACTCAATCTGATGAAATGTCTAAAACATTACAGCACACCTATAATCAAAGGTAGTGGTTCTCAAAGTGTTGTCCTGGACCAGCAACATCAGCAACTCAGGAAGCTGGCAGAAATGCAAACCTCAGGACTCACCCAAATCAGAACTTCTGAGAGTGGGACCCAGTAATCTTTTTTAACAAGTTCTTCGAGTGTTTCTGATAGATACTAAAGTTTAAGATCCACTGATTCAATGTGACAACAGCTAATAATTGGCCAGGTAATTTTTAAAATATTTACTTATTTATTTGAAATTCAGTTACAGAGAGAGAGAGAGAGAGAGAAATGGAGGGAGAGAGGGAGAGGGAGAGGGAGAGGGAGAGGGAGAGGGAGAGAGGAGATCCTCCATCCGCTGGTTCACTCCCCAAATTGTTGTACTAGCCAGGGCTGGGCCTGGCTGAAGCCAGGAGCCAGGAGCTTCAACTTGTTCTTTCTTGTGGGTGCAGGGGCCCTAAAAGTTGGACCATCTTCTGATGCTTTCCCAGGTACATTAACAGGGAGCTGGATCAGAAGTGGAGCAACTGGGTCTTGAACCCACACCCATATGGGATGCTGGTGTTACAGGCAAGTGGTTTAACCTGCTACACTGCAGCTCTGGCCCCTAGGTAATTTGTTTCAAAGGTTTATTTATTTATTTGAAAGTCAGAGTTACAGAGAGAGAAAGAGAGGGAGAGACAAAGGAAGACAGCAAGATCTTCCATCTGCTACAACGGCCAGGATTAGGCCAAGCCGAAATCAGGAGCCAGGAGTTGCTATTCTTTTCTTTTTTTAAAGACTTATTTATTTGAAAAGACAGAGTTGGAGAGAGAGATATTTTCTTTTTCTTTTTTTTTTTTTGGACAGGCAGAGTGGACAGTGAGAAAGGTCTTCCTTTGCCGTTGGTTCACCCTCCAATGGCCGCTGCAGCCTGCGTGCTGTGGCCGGCCCACAGCGCTGATCCGAAGGCAGGAGCCAGGTGCTTCTCCTGGTCTCCCATGCAGGTGCAGGGCCCAAGCACTTGGGCCATCCTCCACTGCCTTCCCGGGCCACAGCAGAGAGCTGGCCTGGATGAGGGGCAACCGGGACAGAATCTGGCGCCCCAACCGGGACTATAACCCGGTGTGATGGTGCTGCAGGCGGAGGATTAGCCTATTAAGCTGCAGCGCCAGCCTGAGAGATTTTCCATCTGCTAGTTCACACCCCAAATGGTCACAATGGCCAGAACTGGGCCAGGATGAAACCAGAAGCCTGGATCTCCACTAGGTTCTTCCACATGGGTGGCAGGGGCCCAGGTACTTGGGTCATCCTCTGCTGCTTTCCCAGGCACATTAGCAGGGATTTGGATTGGAAGTAGAGCAGCAAGAAACTGAACCAAGGCTCCTATGGGATGTTGGCATTGTAGGTGGCAGTTTAACCCTCTGTGTCACAATGCTGGCCCCAGTAGTGAAATCTTGACATGAGAAAAAGATACCTACTTGACATGTTTACCACTAAGACACAGAAACAAACATTCTTGACACATTGTTAATTACAGTACTGATTTTTAACTTATAGAGGTATGCTTTCTTTATGGATAAATGTTTGCTATGGTTTGAATATAACATGGCTCCTAAACTCATGCAGATAGTTAAGCCTCAAAGTCAAGGACTGATGTACTAAGGCAGTAGAGTCTTAATCCAATTATGGTGCCTACAGGGTGGTCCTAATGGGAGGTCCTTAAGTCACTGGGGGCTTATTTTTGGAAGGTAGTTCTCTAGAGAAGGTTAGTTATAAGCACCAGACTCAGGACCAGCTGCTGTTCTCTGCTTCCTCGCTCGCTAAATGATCACTACCCTGCACACATTCCACTGCTGCCACACTCTGGCCTCCCTAGGTGACAAGACCCATGTGGCCCACCCAATCATACACAGATATAAACCTCCCTCCCTTCATAATTACCCTGTTAGATATTACATCATAGTGATGAAATGCTGACTAATACAAGTTTTGGTCATAATTTCCAAACACAATTTCTTTAAAATGGCAGAGGAACTTGAAAGACACATAGGAAGATCTGAGAAGACAGTTCTAATAGATTTGATTTTTTTTGTCCACAATCTTCAAATCTACTTGCTTACACTTAATTTGATTATTTTTTTTTTGACAGGCAGAGTTAGTATGAGAGAGAGACAGAGAGAAAGGTCTTCCTTTCCATTGGTTCACCCCCAAAATGGCCACTATGGCTGGTGCGCTGTGCTGATCCGAAGCCAAGAGCTAGGTGCTTACTCCTGGTCTCCCATGCGGGTGCAGGGCCCAAGCACTTGGGCCATCCTCCACTGCCTTCCCGGGGCCACAGCAGAGAGCTGGACTTGAAGAGGAGCAACCGGGACAGAATCCGGCGCCCCAACCAGGACTAGAACCTGGGGTGCTGGCGCCAAAGGTGGAGGATTAGACAAGTGAGCCGCGTCGCCGGCCTAATTTGATGATTTTTTAAATCACTTACTTTTCTTGAATCTTTCTCAAAGAATCCATTGATAGTTTTTAGAGAAACAGCACATCTTTTTGTATTTATAGTTCACTGTTTATTAAGCTTTAATTAAACTAATCGTTTCTCAGCCTTTTGGCCAAGATCAAGTGTAGTTTTAATTGAATACATAAATATAAAAAGGAACTTGGCATAGGTGTATTTGAAAGTAAACAATGGACTCCAGCTGAGCTGGAGAAAGTATACAGGCATAATGTGGAAGCTAAGAGAAAGTTCAATGTACCACGAGACTCAGTATGTTTTGTAAGGTAAATGAAGAAAGGTTAATCCAGATAGCAAGTTAATTAGTGGTGAATTTAGAGCGCCTCCTTTGTCACTTTCTGCTTTACTTCTATTGACCAACGTTTTTTTACTTATCAATGACTTGCTGAAAGGATGTTGAATTCTGACTTTTTACATTTTGTGTACTCTATCAAATAATATATTATTATGGCCTGGATGTGAAAATAACTTTTATCTTAAATTTGAAACCTCTCTATTTTAGTTTATAACATTATGCATAAACAGGTAATGAAGCTACTTTAATTGTTAGATAAATACAGTTACTTTTTAAAGTTTTTCTTACCTGGCATCCTTCTGCTGAAAAGTTAATTGGCTATCTAATCTCAATGTTAGTAGCTGCTTCTGGTGAAGTGCATCATTAAGTTTTTCTTCCAATTCTTCAATCTTAAAAAAGAAAAAAGTAAATCATATATTCAATTTTCAAATTTACCATAAAGAAAAGCCTTTGTTTTTTTTTTTTTTTTTTTTGACAGGCAGAGTGGACAGTGAGAGAGAGAGAGAGAGACAGAGAGAAAGGTCTTCCTTTGCCGTTGGTTCACCCTCCAATGGCCGCCGCGGCCGGCGCGCTGCGCTGATCTGATGGCAGGAGCCAGGAGCCAGGTGCTTTTCCTGGTCTCCCATGGGGTGCAGGGCCCAAGCACCTGGGCCATCCTCCACTGCACTCCTGGGCCACAGCAGAGAGCTGGCCTGGAAGAGGGGCAACCAGGACAGAATCCGGCGCCCCAACCGGGACTAGAACCCGGTGTGCCAGCGCCGCAAGGCAGAGGATTAGCCTAGTGAGCCGCGGCGCCGGTCAAAACCTTTGGTTTAAAAAATAAAAATTTTAAGGGGCCAGCACTGTAGCACAAAAGGTTAAGCTGCCACTTAGTAATGGTGGCATCCCATATGAGTGCTGGTAAGCAGTGGGAGATGGACCAAGTACTCAGGCTGGTACCTGATGCTACCCAAGTGGGAGACCCAGATGGAGCTCCAGGATCCTGTCTTTGGCCTGGCCCAGCCCTGGCTGTTGCAGCCATCTGGGGAGTGAGCCAGTGGTTGGAAGATCTCTTTCTGTCTTTGTAACTCTGACTTCAAATAAATAAATATTTAAAAATGGTTGTTTAAAAAATTTTTAAAGACTTAATTTTTCTTTTTTGCAATTGTTGTGTTCACTAAGTTCAATGTGTGCTCATACTTCAGCTTGAAACTATTGCCTCAGAAATTTTTTTTTAACTATTTCTTTTCCTTAACCCATGCTGAGAAGCTACTGACAACTGGAATTTCATGTTGGTGGCCTGCCCATTTAATTATCTGCAGGCCAAATGCTTGTTTGTATCCAGAACCATGAATCCGACTACTGTAAGTCTTCAAGTGACTATCACACAGGTAATGCTACCAACATTCAAAATGAAATGAAAAAGCAAACACACATAATCTTGTATTCCTTGCATCTTCTGATATCCAAAATAAAACAAAAAAAACCCAAAAACCTGAGTCATGTTTGATATGCTTAGTTCTCCTTTACTGCTTTTTGTGATTAGACACCAATTGTTTTGTTAAAGTTGTTTCATTAAGTAGATGTCAAAACAGTACCATGCTCTGGAATATCCACCAAGGAGACTTGAGTTAGACCTCTATCATCTTTTGCCTAGGCTATTACAATAGCTTCCTCCTTGGTTTCCCTGCCTATAGTTTTGCCAATCTTCAAATCCATCTTTCTTTATCTTACCTTTGAAACAAGTTATCAAAAGTATATTTCCCTAGTTCTAATTCCACCACAGAATTCTCACTGACTTCAGAATAAATTCTGAACTTTGTGGCAGAGTGCACTAGTTCTTGATCTGGCCTTTACCAATCACTTCTTTTTTTACTGGAATAAAAAACAAAACAAAACAAAACAAAACAAAACAAAAAAACAAAAAACTCAGGTGCTTGCCATTCCCCAAATGCATTGTGCTTTGTTTTAAACCTCTATCTGCTTTTAGTTTATTGAGAAAAGTTCTTAGTTCCTCCTTTTCAATTCAGGAAATTCTTCTTAGCCTGTGAGTCCCTTTAGTTGTATTTAATAGCTGATCTTTAATCCTCATGTGTTTCATAGACAGATAAACTGTCATGGACTCTCCCATAAACTCTAATTGACAATTCAATTTAGGAATCTCAAAGAAATCTAAAATCTAACATATTAAAAACAGAACTTCTGTTTTCTCTTCCAGATCAGCTTTATCCCATCCTTCCATTTATCAATGAATGGTTCCAGTTGATAAGGCCAAAAATCTGGGAGTCTTACATCAGACAATAGCTGATAACTATCTTCTGCTTCTGCCTTATCCTTTGCTCGATTCCTTCAGGTTCATTTTGAATATAAAATCTTGATGTGTAACTCCAACTGCCTAAAATCTGACAATGATTTTTCTTACTATGTAAACTAAAGACAGACTTTACAATGGTGCAAAGCCAAATACAGGTCTTGTGCTGTTTCTATATAGCCCAAGGGCTAAGAATGAGCTTAGATTTTTAAAAGTCCTTTAAAGAAAAAACAAGAATAATATGTGACAGACAATTAATGTGGCCAGCAAAGCATAAAATATTTACTGCCTAGCCCTTTATAGAAAATGTTTGCTGATTCTTTAACTAAAGTAAAACAAACTCCATTGCATTGGGCAAGGTAATGTACTTTATTTTTTTTTTTTCCAATTTTAAGGAATTTGGGGCCAGTGCTGTGGCGTAGCAGGTAAAGCTGCCACCTGCAGTGCCAGCATCCCTTATGGGTGCTGGTTCAAGTCTCAGCTGCTCGACTTCCAATCCAGCTCTCTGCTATGGCCTGGGAAAGCAGTAGAGGATGGCCCAAGTTCTTGGGCCCCTGCACCTGCGTGGGAGACCCCGGAAGAAGCTCCTGGCTTCAGCTCCAGCTGTTGCAGCCATCTGGGGAGTGAACCAGCAGATGGAAGATCTCTCTCTCTCTCTATGCCTCTGCCTCTCTGTGACTCTGCCTTTCAAATAAAGTAAATAAATCTTAAAAAAAAAAAAGAATTAAAAAAATTTTAAGGAATTTATTAATTAGACTCTCGGGGTCTCAGCAAACACATGCTAATTAATACAACAAAATTCACATCAATTCTCATGTTAATATGATACTAAGACAAAAAGAATTGATTCTCTGTAGTTCAAACAGTTCTAAAAATATAATGATACTTCCATCCCTCTCTCTTTCTTAGTTTTTGAGATAACATATTTTTAATTTACATGACAGTCAAAGGTTCAACGCTCCACTAAATAAAGAGTTCAGCAAGTAAAAAGTACAAAGATTCTAGTTCTACTGGAATATAGGCAAGGGTTATAAATAATAATCAACTGAAAAGATGACCATTTCACACATCATATACAGTAAATTTTAAAATAATCACAGATCCTGAAAACTATAGTAGCACATCACTCTTAACTATTGGTTTGACAAAGATATAAAATAAGAGTTGACAAAACTATATTTGCAGCAGTACTGATACACACAAAGGCATTTCTTTTCTGTTTTTCTTTTTGCTAAGTGACTTTCACATGCTCTTGAGGATATCTTGTTTAATTTTTTTTTTTGATCAAGACTTTCACTTGAATATAGTCTCTGTAAAAAGGGGACTCCCATAGTTATTTCTATAACCCCAGCAATAGTTCTCAATCAATGTATTAAATCAATAAAAAATATAAAACAACCACACTACTCAAAATTCTTATTTTGCAAATCAAAAATAATGTTATCACTTGTTAAGGAACTTTTTTTTTAAGGTGTCCAGTTTTACAATTTCAACTAACTTCTCAATTAAGTCTGCTAGCTCAGTGTCAACCTGGGAAGACAACCTCTTTCATCTATCATGTAGTAAGGAACACACAGATCTGAAACATGGGGTTAACAGAATGAGGTTTAGGCATTTGAAAACTGACAGATAAGAGTGAAGAGGAAAGGAACAAAGAAAGAGTATGGAAAGGGATTTAGGTAGCAATGGATGGGGACTAAAGTGTAAGCTGGCAATTCTGTAGTATCAGGAGGTTTGGACTGAGAGGCTACACTTTTTTTTTTTTAAAAAAAAAGATTTATTAATTTATTTGAAAGCCAGAGTTACAGAGAGGGAGAGACGAAGAGAGATCTTCCATGTGGTGGTTTACTCCCCAGATGGCCACCATGGCTTGGCTAGGCCAGGCTTAAGCTAGAAGTTAGACATTTCATCTTGGTATCCCACATGCGAGTCAGGGGCCCCCAACCACTTGGATTATCTTCCTCTGCTTTCCCAGGCCACTGGCAGGGAGGTGGATGGGAAGTGGAGCAGCCAGGACACGAACCAGAACCCATATGGGATACCAGCATTGCAGGTAGCTGCTTTACCTGTTACACCACTATGCTGGCCCTGAGTAGCTACACTTTAATTTCTCCTGGTTTTCTGAATGGGAAGTGGAAATCAATGTTTTCTCAGTTCTCTTGGACTTGTTTATTTTTGGTTTTAGACATGGGGAAATCAAATCAACCTGGTCAAGACATTCAGAGTAATTTAAACTATAGGAGCCAGAGCTGTGTTGCAGCGGATTAAGACACCTTCTGCAGTGCTGGCGTCCCAAATGCGTACAGGTTCGAGTCCCGCTGCTCTGCCTCGGATCCAGCTCCCATGTGAGAGACCCAGATGGAGTTCTGGGCTCCTGGCTTCAACCTGCCCAGTCCTAGCTGTGGCAAGAATTGGGAGAATGAACTAGTGGATGGAAGATCTCTCTTTGTCTTTCTGTCTTTCAAATATAATGAAAACAAATAAACAAAACTTTAAAAATTACAGGAACACAAAAATAAGAAATGCTCATGAGGTCTAGAGGCCAATTCTACAATGGTGGTAAAAAGTTGTAGGCAGCCAGGATGCCTATCACTGTGGGAGTGGACGGATGTATCATTACATGCACATAGAGAATTAAGGTGAAAAAAAAGGATTAGATGCACACACAGTAACAAAGGATTTAAAAATTAGTACTAGATAGAAAAAAGAGATGAGGTCTAAAAATATGATCTACCATTTACATAAAGTAAAAATTAATATACATTCTCAAGATTACATGCAAACTAAAGGATTAACACTGGAATAGTTGCATGGAGGGGAAACAGATAGGAATAAGGCAGTAACAAAAATAAATATATTAAAAACCTAGTGGCCTTGCAAGAATCAATGATTTTGTGTCATAAACCCAGGAATAATATTGATTCAATTTTCTATGCTTGTTGTACAACTAGAAAACAATTGGGGGGGGGGCGGAGCTGTGGTGCAGCGGGTTAACGCCCTGGCCCGAAGCGCCGGAATGCCACATGGGCGCTGGTTCGAGAGTCCTTGGGCCCCTGCACACTTATGGGAGACCCAGAGGAAAATTCTGGCTCCTGGCTTCGGATTGGCGCAGCTCAGGATTGTTGTGGCCAATTGGGGAGTGAACCAGCGGATGGAGGACCTCTCTTTCTCTTTCTCTCTCTGCCTCTCCTCTCTCTGTGTAACTCTGATTTTCAAGTAAATAAATAAATCTTTTAAAAAAAAGAAAACCATCAGTGGAGGGGCTGGTGCTGTGGCACAGCAGGTTAATGCCCTGGCCTGAAGCATTGGCATCCCACAGGGGTGCTAGTTCGAGACCCGGCTGCTCCACTTCCAGTCCAACTCTCTGCTATGGCCTGGGAGAAGATGGCCCAAATCCTTGGGCCCCTGCACCCATGTGAGAGACCTGGAAGAAGTTCCTGGCTCCTGGCTTCTGATCGGCGCAGCTCTGGCAGTTGCGGCCAATTGGGGAGGGAGCCATCGGATGGAAGACCTCTCTTTCTCTCTCCTCTCTCTGTGTAACTCTGACTTTCAAATAAATAAATTAATTTAAAAAAAAAAAAAAAAAGCAAACCATTATGGGGCCCGCACAGTGGCACAGTAGGTTAATCTTCTGCCTGCGGCACTGGCATCCCATAAAGCCAGGTCTTCAAATCCTGCTCTCTGCTATGGCCTGGGAAAGCAGTGGAAGATGGCCCAAGTCCTTGGGCCCTTGCACCCACATAGGAGACCAGGAAGAAGTGCCTGGATCCTGGCTTTGGATTGGCGCAGCTCTGGCCGTTGCAGCCATTTGGGGAGTGAACCAGCAGAAGGAAAACCTTTCTCTCTGTCTCTCCCTCTCACTGTAACTCTACCTCTCAAATAAAATAAATAAAAAATCTTAAAAAAAAAAAAACTATTACAACAAACTATACTAAGCCCCATGGGGGTACAAAAACAACAGTATAGTGCTGATAAAGTGCAGCTACAAATATATTACAGTAATATATAATATGTGAATAAGCATATTTTTATTATATACCAGGCATGTAAGAGCTTGCATGGATTAATTTAATTCTCTCAAGAAACCCAAGTAAATATTATCATTATTTTACAAGAAATCAGGGGATATAAAAATTTACGGGATTTATACAAAGTATATATATATATATATACAAGCTAGGATTAACCCACACTTTGTATACTTAGAACTCTGGCTATGATCCATTACACTATGGAATCTCTCATGAATCAGTCACCATTTCTGTAATTAAAACTTACACTTAAAAAGAGGGGAAGACATTTATAACCAAGCATAATGCCAAGTGGAAAACAAGTTGTTGCCAAACAAAATTTAAGTCAGAATATGGCACACAATCAGCATGTAATGAAATACATGTTGAACGAATGGGTGGATGATGGAATGGGAGAGTACCTTCAGACTTCTTCAATGACTTGTATTACAGGAGATTCTGAGATGGAAATACTGAGCCAGCAGCAATGTAGAATCCCTTTGAGGCGTAAAGGGAATTTGAGTGAAGGACTAGGGACGGGAAATGCCTGGCTACACTGACAAAATATCGAGCGACCTTGTCTAGGGGTGGTGACTATACAGGGCAGCTAATAGAAAGTGTTTGGAGATTCACTTGCACAAAGAATGGGCTTTAGACTTTCTGGGTCTGAATTCCACCCGGCTCCCTCACTTCTGTCTGTCCTGAATGACTGGAGTAGGCTATTAACGATCTGCTGGCTTTGTTTCATTAACAGCAAAATGAGTTTCAGCCATTTATTTAAGAAACAGTTGAGGGAGCCTGGGGCCAGCATGGTGGCATAGCAGGTAAAGCCGCCGCCACCTGCAGTGCTGGCATCCTATATGGGTGCTGGTTTGAGTCCTGGCTGCTCCACTTCCGATCCACCTCTTTGCTATGGTCTGGGAAAGCAGTAGAAGATGGCCCAAGTCCTTGGGCCCCTGCACCCAGAAGAAACTCCTGGCTTCTGCTTTTGGATCGGACTGGCGCAGCTCCAGCACTGTGGCCAACTGGGAAGAGAACCAGCGGATGGAAGACCTCTCTCTCCTCTCTCTGCCTCTTCTTCTCTCTCTGTGTAACTCTGACTTTCAAGTAAATACATAAATCTTTTAAAAAAGAAAAAGAAATATTTGAGCACTTACTATATGTTTTTTTTTTTTAAAGATTCTAAGTGCTGGAAATACAGAAGTGAATACAAATACATTCCTTTCCTTGTGCACTTCAGTCTATTAGAAAGACAAATACCAAACAGTCAGTCCTGTGGACATTTGGATGAGGAACAGAAAATAAAGGGGGTGAAAAAAATGAGAATACCGTTTTAGTTTATAATAATAGCTAATATCTGTTGCATTTTAAAAATTAATTAATTTATTTGAAAGAGTTATGGAAGGAGAGTGAGAGAGAGAGAGATCTTCCCTGTGCAGCTTTACTCCCCAGTTAGCTGCCATGTCCAGAGCTAGGCCAGGCTGAAGCCAGCAGTCAGAAGCTTCATCTGGATCTCCCACATTGGTGGCAGTGGCCCAAGTACTTGGGCCATCCTCCACTGCTTTTTCCAGGCCATTAGCAGAGAGCTGGATCTGAAGTGGAACAGCTGGGACACGAAATGGCACCCATATGGGATGGTGGCATTGTAGGCAGTGGCTTTACCCACTAAGCCACGACGCGAGGCCCCTGCTGCATGTTTATTGCTTTTGTCCTTTCAAAATTCATGTACTGAAATCCAATACTAATGTGATAATAATAGGAGTGGGGGCATTTAGGCAGATGATTAAAATATATTGGTCGTACCCTATCAGTGTGAACAGTGGTACCCTTATAAAAGAAACTAAGTATCAGACAGCAACCCAATTTATTTTATTAGTTCATTGAAATATGATGGATCAGGAAGACTCTTATCCTATCATCATCACACACACTCAAAAAGCATCTGAAAATCAGAGTTGTTGTGAGGCTTAAATGAGACAACTCAATGAAAAGCTCTCCAAACAGTGTCTGGCCCAGCATAAGCACTCCATAAACGTTAGCTATTATTACAGATTCTTAAATTTACCCAAACAACTTCTTCATCTCATCAAGATCTTGAGATTTTGGACACTTTCATACTTTCCTAGAAAGAAAAGGTATTTCCTCAAGATTTCTTTTCTTATGGCAGAACTCTGAGGTATGTTAATTTATATAGTATAGGCAGGAGCTAGAATGGGAGATAAATGTGTAACTGAAACAACAAAATGGGGAGGTTGAAAGAGCTGGGACCAAGAGCAAAGATGGAGGGTTTACCATTGCAAAGAACAGTTTTCCCCAGAAACCTAAGTATTAATATCAAACTGACTCTTGTCTTTCTGAAATCACCATCTTTTTCTTATAGCTAGTATAACTTTACCAGGTCTTACATAAAACTATCTGTAAACAACCACACAAGGTAGAAAAACAAGGACTTAGACCATCTCATTTGCATAGCAAAACTACTGACTACAGACACCTGTAATTTATACCTCTTATACAGTAACTCTCAAATAGACAAGACACAGTAACTAGTAAATAGAAAGGTACCAAAGAAACCAAATCTCCAGGGCAAAGCACAATACAGATTCAATAATATAATCATGATCTCGATTCTCCCTCACAAACTAGGCACCATCAAGTTTAGTTCTCAATGAAGCAGAAAATCCCTTGGGTAGAAAATATACCTAAGAATATATATCTCACACACACTAGATTTTTTAAGTGGAGCACACAGAAATAATTCATCCCTGCCCACCTTTAAATCACTCCACCTGTCAATACTTTAAATAGGCCATCCCGGACAAGAAATATAAATGTTCTCATTTCAAGTTCAGACAACATAAACACTTCATCCTTACTCATCTGCTGCTTAAAGACAGTAAAGCATATAGAACACAAAATTTTCATCTGCTCTTACCTTTGTAAGATAATCCACTTTCAAATTGTCGATCATCATGTTTTTCTGGGACAGCTCTATTTTCAGCAACTGAATATTATGAAGCAGTTCTTTTCGTTCAATTAGCTGCCTGGTAATTTTGATTTTACCCTCTTGCTCTTCTGATGAGGAAATATCATCTGTAGGAACTGTTGTTTCTAAACTAATGTCTTCAGACTCCAGAGAACTAGAAATATTCACTTTTTTTGACTCCTTAGAAATTTTTCGAGACATTTTTTTTAATTATGGGTCAGTTTTCTTCTCTAATTCTCTTTCAATCTTCTGTAGAGAGAAAAAAAAAAACAACTAAAGAGTAGTGCAATATTAGCTCCAGAAAATACAGATAGCATAGAGAGTATTAAGGAGACAATAAGGATTTCTTAAATAATTATTAGGCAATTTGGAGAACTTCAAACCTAGGACAGATTATGACAGTAAATTACTGCTCAAATCAACATACACCCAATAAATCCTACTATGAACTCAGTCCTTTGATAAAACAAATAAAAAACACCCCACAGTTCCTGGCAGCAGGAATCTGCTCTTGGGGAGGCAAAGAAATGTACGAGTAAAGCAGTAAGCCCAACAGCACCCCAAAATGTCCCTCAGAAAAGCAATGCATACTCAAAGAGGAATCACTTCTTCCTTGGTCAGAAGAAGGTAACACAGAAGTAGCTTTGCACAGGCATAGTCATAAGGGAATATGCAGCAGGTATTCAGGCTGGTACAGAAGTGGAGGAAGTGGGAAACAACAGAGTCTGCAGTCGGGGTAGGGCCAAGTTTGCATCTGAATAGTGACTCCCACCCCCTACACCCACACAAGAAAAGATTAAGACTGTGCAGGGACTTAAATACCACAGTGGATTCGGATTTTATTCTACAGGCAATGAGGCATCCCTGGAGCATTTTAAAATATGGAAGCACTGAGACACAAACATTCTCACAGACGAGCTAGATAACAATGTAAACAAGGGAGTAGAAGAGAAAACCCAAGTATTCTAAATGGAACTTCTTACCCTTTCGCAAGAATCTGAGTGACTTCCTTGCTTTATTTCTTCACAGTATAATAACAATTTTTATGGTATTGTACATTTCAGGATGTCTTAACTGAAGGATCAGGAAAGAGATGTATGAAGCGGGAAACATGAAAAACTACAGTAAGACCGGCCTCGTTCCTTTTTAAAGAGAAGAGGGTAGGGAAAAGTGAAATCAAAGACAAATGCTCTCCTGGATTACAAAGATCAGAGACTGGCACCGGCGGTCCGCACGGCAGGCGTGATGATTAAGCCCCAAACTTGGAAGCTTCGGATTCCTTGCCTCGTGCGGGAAAGGAAGGGAGACGTAGGGCCGCAGGCTACCTCCAAAGCTTCAAGTACTCCACACCCAGGGCTGGGCCAGCCACACCGCAGACACTTCGCAGGTGCAGAGGCGCCTCCGGTCAGTCACTCGGGTTGTAGCCCCTCAGCAAAGGATCTCAGGACTGGGGACCGTTAGGATTCGTAACCAAGACAACCACTTCCGCACCTGCAGGGGGACGGAAGCCAGCGCACCCCACCGGAACTTGGCCTCTCGGGAGCCTCCGTGGGGCGCGCAGCAAGGCATGCTGGGAGCTGGAGTCTACAGGCGAGCTCCGCCCAAGCCTCGAGCGGAAATGGCTCTGTGCTCCGCCCATCCTCCGAGCTCTCGCCCAATCCTCGCGGGGTTGCCAGAGACACAACCAATGTCAGTCTCGCGAGAGGAGGTGTGACTGTCCTGGAGCGGGAAGGGAGGAAGCTCCGGGTGAAATAGAGTTGTGCGATAGGGTTCCAAACGTGACGCTGGTTACCGGAAAAGTGCTGCCGGGGTCGCGATTCTGCACCGCGAGGCAAGATGCTCAAGTCCAAAACGTTCTTAAAAAAGACCCGGGCGGGCGGTGTGATGAAAATCGTGCGCGAGCACTACCTGCGGGATGACATTGGCTGCGGCGCTCCCGGCTGCTCGGCGTGCGGCGGCGCGCACGAAGGGCCGGTCTTGGAGCCACAGCCCCAGGACCCGGCCAGCACCCTCTGCCCAAGTCCGCACTATTTGCTGCCGGACACCAACGTGTTGCTGCACCAGGTGCGTCGGCCGGCGGGCGAATTGCGGACCTCGCGGCCCGACCCGGGCGACAGGGGATGTGACAGGGAATCTGAAGGCCAAGGAGGAGGGTGTTTGGTAGTGTCACGTAGCTGGGGAGAAGCAGACTCCGCTGTTACCCAGCTTCCTCTGTCCCTGCTCAAGTTCTTCTCCCTGTGCTGTTTTTTTTTTTTTTTTCTTTTCAGTTCTGGGAGTCGTATATTAGACAGGCTCGTTTTCTAACTCCTGGTGTCTCTTCTGCCTTAGATTGTAAGTGCTTGGAGGCCGGGGACCTGGGCTTGTGTGGCCTCCAGCTTGCGACCCCCAGGCAGCTTGTAAGTGCCTACAAACGAAAACTGTGTGGGCCAACATGTTTACTTATCAGTAGCCTTACTTCGGAGGACTTTTGTGATTGGACCGTGTATTACTTCTCTTTGCAAGACCTGAAGGGTTGAGTGACTCTTGTCACTTTTCCTGTAGCAAAGTGGTTCCTTGACTTACTGCGTAATTAATATTTTTTTAAGCTGATAGGATTTTATGTTTGACAGATATAGTCTACAGTTTCATATAGGAAAAATTTAACTTTTTTTTTTCTTCCCTCTAAGATTGATGTTCTCGAAGATCCGGCCATCAGGAATGTGATTGTGCTGCAAACAGTTCTCCAAGAAGTGAGAAATCGGAGCGCCCCTGTGTATAAACGAATCCGAGATGTGACGAATAACCAAGAGAAGCATTTCTATACGTTTACTAACGAGCACCATAGGTAGGAGCAAATTAGACTACCAGAGAACCATGGGAGTAGCTGAGTTGGGGAGGGGGAGTTTCTGGGAGTAGTCGTCAGAAGATAAAGGCTGTGTTTTCTCAGATATTTCATTCTTGTGCAAGCTGGGCAGCAAATCGTACTCAGTGGCTCTAACTAAAACCAATGGACGTTGATGGGGTAAAGCCCTGAGTATACGTCTACTGCCCCCTGGGATATAGCAGGTGCTCTTATTTCCCAAAATGTTTTCAGGTTGGGATTAGCATGAATTGAGCAACAGAATCTTGGGGGATGAGATTTGCCTAAATGCCTGGAATTCCATATAAAACTATATAGATTTATTCCTAACGAGCTTGAAAAAGTTTAGTATCTTAAAACATTACAATGAAGATTAAGAAACAGTTTTAATGTGTGTTCTTAGAAAATGGTATTGCCTGTTTATGATCTTACATAAATAATCTATTGAAGGTATTTATGATATTTTATTAGAGTTTTTCAATATTGGCACTATTAATAAAGACTATTGTTAAAGACTTCTTATATACTGTGATATGTTTAGTAGCATCCTTGGCTACTAGATTCTGGCACCAACCCTCCCTACTCAGTGGTACCAACTTAAAACTGTCTACCTACATGACCATCACCCACTGTGGGAAAATTCATCCCCCAATTAAGAACCACTGGGTGGGGCCAGCGCTGTGGCATAGCAGGTAAAAGCTACCGCCTGCAAGTACCAGCATCCCATACAGGCGCCGGTTCAAATTCTGGCTGCTCCATTTCCGATCCAGTCTCTGCTGTGGCCTGGGAAAGCAGTAGAAGATGGCCCAAGTCCTTAGGCCCCTGCACCCGCATCGGAGACCAGGAAAAAGTTCCTGGCTTCAGATCAGTGTAACTCTGGCCATTGTGGCCATCTGAGTGAACCAGTGGATGGAAGACCTCTCTCTCTCTCTCTCTCTCTCTCTCTCTCTCTCTCTGCCTCTGCCTTTCTGTAACTCTGCCTTTCAAAAAAATAAATATATCTTAAAAAAAAAAATAACAACAAAGATTGCACTGGGTTAGAGTGGAATTCTGGTAATGCAATTCCATAAGCTTAGGCAAATTTAAAAGAAACGCTTTTTTTTAAAAAAAAAAGTTCATATATTTGAAAGAGTAAAAGGGGAGGGGGACATCGAGATCTTGATTTTAATCTTCATATACTGGTTCACTCCCCAAATGGCCACCAATAGCCGGGGCTAGGCCAGACTGATGCCAGGGGCCCAGAACTTCATCGTTGTTTGCCACATGGATGTCAGGAACCCAAGCACTTGGGCCATCTTCTGCCTTCGCAGGCACATTAGCAGGGAGCTAGATCAGAAGTGGAGCAGCTAGAACTTGAATTGGCACTCATGTGGGATGCCTAAGTTGCAGACAGCAGCTTAACCTGCTGCACTGCAACACTGGCCCCTCCAATTTCTCTTCTTTATTCTTACATCCCACATTTAATATTGTTGTTATAAAGAACATTATCAGTAAAGCACTTGTAGTCTTATTTTTAGCACCTTACTGTGTAGAAACAGAAGCATCAGTTGTTTTTCATTGTAGAAAGACCTGTAATTTGGTGTTAGTATAATCTTCAGATTTCATGTCAGAGGACAGCAGTTCTGTCAGCTCAAATGCAGTGAATAGACCTTAGCTGAATGGGAGTTGATGGTAAACTCTTAGGACACCCGGGCAAATCCATCTAAGATTTTACTACTCAAGTCTTGCTCAACCAAATTCAAACTTAGGACTCTTTTATGTCCTTTGCTCAAGAGCTTAAATATTAACAGGTACATATAGTGGTAGGGAACAAAATAATTCTAAAAACCATTACTGTAATAAGTTTAAGTATCTGTTGTCTTTAATCGCAAGAACCTATTGTACTATATTTTGTTGTGCTTAAATTTGGCATTGAAGACCGGTTATTTGGGAGTTCAGAGCAATTAGACTTAAATAATCATATCTGACCTGATCCTTCAGTCTCTAGATAGCCTCTGCCCTCTATTTAGTGTTTGCAATGGATAATTTACATCTGTTATGCATTTAATGACTATGGAATCACATGATCATAGTCACAGCTACTATTTGTAGCTTTTATGAATTGCTCTTGTTCTGCAGTTTGAATAAAATCTCAACAGATTTGCAATATATTACAGCTTGTTTTGATGAACTGTTTATTTAATGTCCCAACCTAAAGAATAAAGTCAGATCTTGAATTTCTCTTTTTATGCAATAAAATTATATTAGCCTTTTTATTTTTCCATTAGTCACATAATTTTCTTATTTTCCAAGTAAACTGTTGTCTTAAAATTTTAACTAATTTAAATAATCATCCTATTTATTTTTTCTCAAAGGTATAAATCTCAGTACATGCCAAGAGAAAGAAGACTTTCCAATTCAGGGTTGAATATTTATATCCTAAGAGTTTTTATGTATCCTTTTTAAAATTTGTTTTTCATTTTTTTTCTTTCCATTTAGGGAAACCTATGTGGAACAAGAACAGGGAGAAAATGCGAATGACAGGAATGATAGAGCCATTCGAGTAGCAGCAAAATGGTATAATGAACATTTAAAGAAATTGTCAGCAGAGAATCAGCCACAAGTTATCTTCATAACAAATGACAGGAAAAACAAAGAGAAAGCTGTAGAAGAAGGGATACCAGCTTTCACTTGTAAGTGTCAAGGTAGAAGTGTTAGCGCGTGTTCGCATGTAAGATTTAGCAGGCCCATGGTCGGATAGTCACTTGGCTGATATTGTCATAGTGCTGTATAACTTTGTGTGATTCTTTTGTTTTTGTTTTCTGCATTTATTAATTTCTCAGTGTTTTTCAGCTAGATAAATTGTGGTACCTAATAGTGGTTGGCTTTCTTCCCCTTCACCATTTGCAATTGCTGTAATGATAAGTTCATAGATAGGTGGACCCACTGCCTTAGTCATGAGCACATCAACAAGTTGATTTTCTTTTTCTTTTTTTTCCCCCAAAATTGACAAGAGATACTGTTACATGTTCTTTCGTACCTAAGAAAAACAACACTTGAATTTATCAAGAATGACATAAACTCATTTTTCAGGTGAAGAATATATTAAGAGCTTAACTGCTAACCCTGAACTCATAGATCGTCTTGCTTGTTTGTCTGAAGAAGGGGTATGTTTCAGATGTTTTTTCCTTCTAATTTATTTTTGTGAAGTGAAATATTAACATAGCCACTTTGGGATATTAGATTTTAGTTACCAAATTTAAAAAATTGGAACATGGGTAGGTAAGCTGGTATTAGATTAGCAGTTGGGTCATAAAAAAACAAAAGTGGCTATATGAGACTTACTGCTAAATGAATTGACTTTCTAAAGTAGCTGTATTCCCAGAAACCTTAGTAGTTGCCTGGCACATGATGGTGCACTGTTTGTGTGGTGAGCAAAAGAATGGAAACTGTGACTAGTGATTGAGGAGTATTTGTCAAATAAAGTACAGACAGCATAAGGGCCAAAGGAGGAAGAAGGGAGTCCTAGGATGAGGTAGAACAGAAGAGAAAGAGCCAGATAATGATAAACCAGAAGTTGTTCTGTAGGTTAGTAATGTTTCAAACATCTTAAAAATATCTACCTAAAGAGCTCTTGTGATGAGAATATAACTGATAGAATGCTGAGCTCACTGCCTTCTGTGGCAGGCTGAGGGAAGTCAGGGCTATATGAGAGTGTGGGTTGGGGGAGCATGATAAGAAATGGTATTTATTTGAAGATCACTCTCATGTCAAAAGGTAAGGTGAAGCATTGCATAGAGGGCAGGATTAGAGACAAACAGATGAGTGATGGGGTCACTGCAGGAGCTGATCTGAGAAGGCGTGCTCAGGGATAATTATATTCTGAGTCTTCATTTCCTTATATGAGTACATAAAGTAGATTTAGCAGTAATGAATTCCTAGCTTTGCTACAAGGATTTAAAGATTATAACAGTTCCATTAGTAAAATTCCTAGTACCTGGGAACATAGCAGCTGTTGTTATAATAGTAAGTTTTATGTACTAGGATGTTATACATATGTGCAGTCTTCATAATATTTCTTTCAACCCTGTTTGCCTTTAACCAGCTACTTTACAAAGCTAAAGGAAATGAGAAGATTAAAAAGTTAGGATCAATTTTTGGAATACAGATTTAGATTCGTCCTGTCCAACATGTAGCTACTAGTTACATGTGATTGTTTAAATTTCACTGAACTTAAAATTCAGTTTGTCAGTTATACTCTTTATGTTTCAGGTGTTCAGGAGAAATTTGTGCCTGATGGCTACCATATTAGACATCACAGAAAGCTTTAACACTGGTTTAAGAGATACAGTGTATTCTCTCACATTTATAGAGTTGTATATAATAATATGGATGTGATATTGATGGCTGTAGGCTGAACAAACAGAAGACTTAACTAACTTATCTTTTGGTTTATTTATTTTACAGAATGAAATAGAAAGTGGGAAAATAATATTTTCCGAGCATCTTCCCTTAAGTAAGTTACAACAAGGTATAAAATCTGGTATTTACCTTCAAGGAACCTTTAGAGCCAGCAGGGAAAATTACTTAGAAGCTACAGTATGGATTCATGGAGACACGGAAGAAAATAAAGAGGCAAGTGTGGAAATAAATACCTTGTAAACCAGTACTTTTTCTGTTCCATATATTCTTTAACAAGTGTTTAGAAATTTGAGAATTTAAATTTGCTTTATCTTGCCAATTCATCAACTTGAAGGCAGTTATACAGGAAGTTATCCATACTAGTAGAATTAATCACTCTTTTTAGGAAATTGCTGTGGTAGAAAATGACTCTATTAACTCACTTTGAAGAGAATAAAATTTTGGGTTGGGCATTTGATACAGTGGCTAAGATGCTGTTTGGCACACTTGCATCCCAGTATCAGAGTGCCTGGGTTCAGTATGCTGGTTCCACATTGTTTCCAACTTCCTGGTAATGCCTACCAGAAGATATCTTAAGTAGTTGGGTTCCTACCACTCATGTGGAAGATCCAAACTGAGTTTCTGGCTCCTGGCTTTGCCCTTGCCCAGCTCTGACTATTGTGAGCATTTAGAGCAGTGAATTAGTGAATGGAAGATCCCTGTCTCTGCTTCTACTTTTCAAATAGAAAATGAAGATAAGCAAATAAAAATTGTTTAAAAATGGGAAAAAGGAATAAAATCTAGTCCCCAAATAATAAAAAATAAAATGTTTTTACTTTAAGTGTTATGACCTGTTATACTATTTGCATAGCACTTGCAGAGAGCGTCCCATACTTTAAAGCAAATAGCAACCATTTTTGGAGTGTTCAGTATTTGCTGGGGACACTTCTAACTCTTTGCATTTCATTTAATCTTCCACTCAACCTATAATAGATACTCTGTTTTTCAGTTGCCCATGAGAATGTTGAGATATAGAAAGTTAAAGAAATTTTCCCAAGCCTCTTGGAACCATTAGAAGTTATGGTGGAGCCATGACCTTTTTTTTCTCCTTGATACTGAGAAATTGATGGTGTGAGATAAAGGGAGACTATAATGAAAGAAAAACATAGAAGAAAGAGAGATTGCATAGGTATAGATATTCAATAATGGAAACACTTCTGTTAGAAAACCTTTCCCTTGTTGTCATTAAAAAAACTTGGGCACATGCTGTTTGCTGTTTTAAACAGATAATATTGCAAGGACTTAAACATTTAAACCGAGCGATTCATGAAGATATTGTGGCTGTGGAGCTTTTCCCCAAGAGTCAGTGGGTGGCACCATCTTCTGTGGTTTTGCATGATGAAGGTCAAAATGAAGATGATATGGAGAAAGAAGAGGAGAAAGAGCGCATGGTAGGAAACCAGCCAGGTTTTATATTGTCTGTGCAGCTTTGCATTATTATGTACCATGTCCTCTTCTGAGGAAGCTGAACAAATTTCATATTGATTGAATAAAATTGTAGCTCTGCAGGTTTAATACATATCATACACATTTGACTTTTTCCTTTTAAGTAGTTTTAATTTCTTATTTTCTCAAAGAAATGGGTTAGATACAAAAAGATTTGAGTACAAAATTAGAAATCTATGACATTAAAAATTTTCCGACATACTTTTCTGTTGTTAAAATTCCCTTAGCATAATGTACTTAAGATTTGAGGATTTTTAATTATTCCTCTTTATTACCGTATTTATAATGAAGAGAATGCTTTCAGTTATTTCTTAAGATCTATGTCTACCTTATATGACCTTTTTATATCCTTATTTTATAATGATAGTAGTTTCAATACATGCAACATTTGCAGTTCTTTTCCCATCAGTTATGTTCAGTGCTCTGAAGTCTTAACATTATTCTTGAAGAGTCGAGGCTTTTGGAGAATGTTAGAGGGGAAACACCATGAGATCTGTAACTGTAACTGTAACTCCACTGTAGCAAATAAATCTAAAAACAAAGATACATCTCTTTCAATGAATTAATAAAGGTCCAAAGGAAGTGGTGACTGTAGTCACTCAGTGCAGATTAGTTCCAAAATCTAGACTGCTAATTCCCAGAGCTGGTGTGTCCTCAAATCAGGGAATCTTCATGTAACTGGGAAAAACTGACTTCTGTCATATTTATTTAGCTATTTTTATTGTTTGATTTTCTGTTTTTGTAATGGCTTTTTTAAAATCATGAAACCATTTCTGTGGTTTGGTTTGGCGTGTTCTTTGCATAGAATTTTGAAGCGTAAAGATTCTGCAGTTTCCTGTTTGAATGTGTTAGTATCCATGTACATATTTTAATTTTGAAGAGAAATTTTCTCATTAGACTTAGAGGGAAAGTAAACCAGATTATTTTTCTCTGTTTCTCAGCTGAAAACTACTGTCAATGAAAAAATGTTAAAGCCTACAGGTAGAGTTGTAGGAATAATAAAAAGGAATTGGAGACCATATTGTGGCATGCTTTCCAAGTCCGGCATCAAGGAGGTGAGTAAAGAGGGTGTCACTGTGTAATAGGAAGTGATAAACATTGTCTTGAACTGATAGCCCTGTCTTTGCCTCCATCCTCAGATACTGTGTGTGTAAAATATCTTTCCTAATTCCCTCCAGTCCAGAAGACATCTCTTTACGCCTGCTGATAGAAGAATCCCTCGAATTCGGATAGAAACCAGACAGGCTTCTACATTAGAAGGACGGAGAATAATTGTTGCTATTGATGGTTGGCCCAGAAATTCCAGATATCCAAATGTAAGCTGAAAGTATTAATTCAATTTAAGATATTAATCATTTATGAATGACATTGCTGCTTTTTAATGAGAATAGGATCTACTTTTATATAGGATTTGTACTGAAACTTGGGGATACTCCGTTAAGTTACCTGATAAATGGCATATGTAATTTAAAAACCAATTTTATGAAATGCTAATATAAATTATGTGGTTACTTTTACTCAAATTCCCAAGCAAGTACTTGTTATACATCAAGACTATGAAAAAGGTGTTTGAGTCCTAAATAGATAATAGATTCTAATCAATAAACCCTGAAGCTATTTGAAGAATACTTTAAATTTGAAAGTGAATGGGAAATAGATGCATTGTGATACAAGAACTGGGCCTTTATGAAGTGTCCATTAGAAGTCTTTTTTTTTGAAGATTTATTTGAAAGAGTTACCGAGAGGTAGAGACAGAGACAGGTCTTCCATTCGCTGGTTCACTCCCCACATGGCCTCAATGTTCGAAGCTGAGCCAATCTGAAACCAGGAGACAGGAGCTTCTTTCAGGTCTCCTATGTGTGTGCAGGGGCCCAAGGACTTGGGCTATCCTCCGCTGCTTTATCAGGTGCATTAGCAGGGAGCTGGATGAGAAGTGGAGCAGTTGGGACTTGAACTGGCACCCACATGGGATGCCAGTGCCACAGGCTAGGGCCAAGGCCAGGGCTTTAACCCTCTGCACCATAGCACTGATCCCCAAAGAAGTATTTTTAAGAAGTCAATACAGGGGCCGGCGCTGTAGCGTAGTGGTAAAGCTACCGCCTGCAGTGCCAACATCTCATATGGGCACCAGTTTCCATCTAAGCCGCTCCACTTCTGAACCAGCTCTCTGCTATGGCCTGAGAAAACAGTAGAAGACGGCCCAAGTCCTTGGGACCCTGCACCTGCGTAGGAGACCTGGAATAGCCTCCTAGCTTTAGCTTTGGATCAACCCAGCTCTACCCAGTGCAGCCATCTGGAGAGTGAATCAGTGGATGGAGACTTCTCTCTCTCAGCCTCTGCTTCTCTGTAACTCTGCCTTTCACATAAATAAATCTTTAAAAAAAAAATCAATACAGGAACTTTGAGAAATACCAAGGTGATTTATAAATTCTGAAGAATGTAGTATGTACTATAATAGCAATTAGCTGTAAAGTATGCCTTTCTAATATTTGGTTTTAGGGACACTTCGTAAAAAACTTAGGCGATGTTGGAGAGAAAGAGACTGAAACAGAAGTTCTGTTACTTGAGCATGATGTTCCCCATCAGCCCTTTTCCCAGGCTGTACTCAGCTTTCTGCCAAAGATGCCCTGGAGCATTACTGAAAAGGTGAGTTGAAAGGAATTCATAATGACTTTATAAATGTTATTCTTATATCCTAATTAATTTAATTTCCATACCTCTTCTTAAATACATGGAAGCCATGGTCCCTCCTCCTCCCCTAAAAATGTACTTAGGTACAGTATTCTGAGGCATGATGAAAATCATTTGCTTCTTTACTGAAAAATAAATTTTTCAGGCCAGCACTGTGGCTCACTTGGCTAATCCTTCGCCTGCGGCGCCGGCACCCTGGGTTCTAGTCCCGAATGGGGCGATGGGTACTAGTCCCAGTTGCTCCTCTTCCAGTCCAGCTCTCTGCTGTGGGCTGGGAGGGCAGTGGAGGATGGCCCAAGTGCTTGGGTCCCTGCACCCGCATGGGAGACCAGAAGGGAGTACCTGGCTCCTGGCTTTGGATTGGCGCAGCGCATCAGCCGTGGTGGCCATTAGGGGAGTGAACCAATGGAAAGAAGACCTTTCTCTTTGTCTCTTTCTCACTGTCTAACTCTGCCTGTCAAAAAATAAATAAATAAATAAATAAATATTTCTGGGGGCATATACTAGAGCATTTGTATGACAGACATTTCAAAGGCCACTAGTTACAAATGATAATGTGTGGTTATCGCTAAGAAGAGCTATCATTGGAAGAGCTATGTTGCAGTCGTACTGTCAGAATACTTTTTTATTTCTTTATAATATGGCATCTTCTAGGACATGAAACACCGAGTAGACCTGCGACATCTCTGTGTTTGTAGTGTGGACCCGCCAGGATGTACAGATATAGATGATGCCTTGCATTGCAGAGAACTGGAAAATGGAAATTTGGAGGTAATCATATTATAATGATGTTCTTACCTAAATATAATTCTATTTATGAGTTCATTCTTTTGACCCAGGGGAGAAATTGTGAATTATTCATGGGAAGTATAGTTAAAGCTATGGAAATGGTAGATGCAACCTTTTCAGTTTAGCTGACATTCTTTGTATTAAAATTTTATTGGTACAGCTACCTAATTAAGCATACTGACATCCTTTTATTTTGATCTTTGGAAGGTTGGGGTTCATATTGCTGATGTTAGCCATTTTATCAGACCAGGAAATGCCTTGGATCAAGAATCAGCCAGAAGAGGAACAACTGTGTACCTTTGTGAAAAGGTAAGGAACTTAAGAACTTCTAACAATCATGGGCACTTTTGAATTCTATTTTTTAGGAAATTTTTAAATGAAATATTTATTTACTTACTTACTTACGTGAAATGCAGGGATAGAGAGATATCTGTTGGTTCACTGGGGCTGGTCCAAGTCGAAGCTGGGAGCCCATTTCTCCTGGGTGTTCCAGTGGGTGGGAGGGCCCCAAGTGTTTGGACCTTCTTCCACAGCCTTGTCTGGTGCATTAGGAAGGAACTGTGTTGGAAATGTAGCAGCTGGGACTCAAGCAGCACTCCAGTAGGAGATGCCTGACATGGCAGGTGGTGCCCTGATACGCTGCAGCTCAATGCCAGCCCCAGCCTATGAATTCTTGAACAGTCATAGTCTAAATAGTTCAGGGTTTTAGCTGTAGGAAATACATAGAATAAGGTGTCCTTACTCATTGAAAAGGTTGCAAATTCTTGTTATGTTGTGGTCTAGCTAGCAAGTACATGTATTTAATACAAATTGTGTAGCATTTATGCTTTAAGTGTTGTCCCCATAAACTTAGAGAGCAGTTGTGAAAGTGAAGGGGAAAGCAAAACTCAATCTATTAGTCCTCCATGAGCTTTGTCCCTTGTTAAAGTATTTTTACACTATGTAGTTTGCGTTTAGCATCAGAGAAAGGTCCAGTCATAGAGCTTGGTTGAGTTTATGTCCGTTACTGAGTACCACCTTATGTAAGCAAGGGACTTCAGACCTTGAGAGGAGAGCTGGGTGGTTAATATGGAGGACTTAAACCTAAATCTGCTGCAGTAAAGTTCAGTTTTGTTTCATGGGTTCCTTCTGTAACAATTTCTTGTAAGCTCTTTTCCAAAAACAGACATTTAGTTAGACATTCTCTCTGTTATGCTAGTCAAAAAAACACACTTTTCCTCCTCTTGATAGATTATTGTTGTTTGAGAAAAGACCTTCAGATAAATGTACAGACATAGCTAAGTGATCTGGGACTCTACCTCTATTTTTATCTTTTGCAGAGGATTGACATGGTTCCAGAGTTGCTTAGCTCTAACTTATGTTCCTTAAGATGTGATGTTGACAGGTATTTATGCATATATTTTCAATAAGATCACTATGGTTACTACTTTAACTGAGTCCTTTTAACAGGCCCTGTTTTTCCTCATAGGCTGGCATTTTCATGTATTTGGGAAATGAATCACAATGCCGAAATCTTAAGAACAAAATTTACCAAAAGTGTCATTAACTCCAAGGTTAGTTTCATGTTGATCTCTAATGTTTTAAAATCTTTCATTCTTTTAACAGTTTCCAAGATTGTCTTCAAAAATTTAGGCTTATAACAAAATTTTTCTGCAATGTTGCAGCAAAATCTTTTTTTTTTTTAGTTATCTGCTTAGTTTTTGATGTTACTCAAAAATTAGTTAATGTAGCATTTGTCTTATTCTCAAAAATTTGCAAAGCCTGTGTAAATACTTGAGCAGACCAAATCGATGCCCTGTCTCAGGAATCCCAGTAATTGAAGTTGTTCCTAATAGTGTTTTTTTATTTTTTATTTTTTTTTATTTTTTGACAGGCAGAGTGGACAGTGAGAGAGAGAGACAGAGAGAAAGGTCTTCCTTTGCCGTTGGTTCACCCTCCAATGGCCGGCATGCTGCGGCCTGCGCATCACACTGTTCCGATGGCAGGAGCCAGGTGCTTCTCCTGGTCTCCCATGGGGTGCAGGGCTCAACCACTTGGGCCATCCTCCACTGCACTCCCGGCCACAGCAGAGAGCTGGCCTGGAAGAGGGGCAACCGGGACTAGAACCCGGTGTGCCGGCGCCACAAGGCAGAGGATTAGCCTAGTGAGCCACGGCGCCGGCCCCTAATAGTGTTTTAAAGGTTACCATGTCTTCCATCTTCATACTTTCTTATCAAAGTGATATTTCAAATCATAGTTGGATTCTAGTAAAACTAGCCTGAGATTAGTTCAGACATAAGGGAGCCACATGGTCTTTCTCATCCTTTTCCATTTTTTGGTACTTTCATTATAGTCTCCTTCATTTTTATTGTTTTTTTATTTAAAACAAAAAAGGTAGTTTTCCACTAGCAGAGAAACTTTCTGTATTTGAGTTGTCTTTGGAGATCACTTTAAATCTTCTCTATCGATACAGGTCCCATTTTTAGGGACTGACTTTTGGATATTTAGTAGATTTCCTCAAAACATGACATCCAGACTCCTGCGGTCTTCCTGTCTAATTATTTGCCAGTGAGTCGGGAATAATGATCAGCTGGAAAGAGTTTCACTTTCAACAGCTGTTGTCAAAGATCTGACCTGCCTTTGTGCTTTATTTTAGCATGATCTTAGTGTATTTAAAGATTTAATTATTTATTTAAAAGAGTTAGATCTTCCATCTGCTGGTTCACTTCCCAGATGGCCATAAAGGATGGGGCAGGGCCAAACCAAAGCCAAGAGCCTGGAGCTTCATCCCAGTCTCCCATGTGGGTGGCAGGGAGCCAAGCACTTGGGCTGTCTTCTGCTTTCCCAGGCTGTTAGCAACAGGCTAGATCAGAAGTGGAGCAGCTGGGACACAAACTGGTGCCCATATTGGGATGCTGGCGTCACAGGCCAGCAGCTTTACCTGCTATGCCACAATACTGGCCCTAGTATTTATATTTTAACGGAACTGTCAAAGTAATTAAAATTTAAGCCACTTAATTTAAGAATGTTGTCATTTTACTTTAAGTTTATAGTACCTCAGAGAAGAATTGATGAAGCAGAATCATAGATGTAAAGAATAGTATAACAGGGCCAGCACTGTGGCATAGTGGGCTCTATCCTACACCTGTGGCCCCGGCAATCCATATGGGCGCCAGTTCAAGTCCTGGCTGCTTCTCTTCTGATCCATATCTCTGCTATCGCCTGGGAAAGCAGTAGAAGGTGGCCTAAGTGTTTTGGCCCTTGCACCCTCAAGGGAGACCCAGAAAAAGTTCCTGGCTCCAGATCAGCCCAGCTCTTCAGCCTTTGCAGCCATCTGGGGATAGAAGACCTCTCTGTCTCTCCCTTTCTCTCTGTCTCTCCCTCTCTCTGTCTGTAACTCTGTGAAACAAATAAATAAATAAATAAAAATCTTTAAAAAAAGGTATAGCTATAAACTTGTTAATGTTTTAAATTTTTTGAAATTATGGATTTTGTTTAGAAATAGAACGTAATAAGCTAGATTTATCGTTTTAACATATATTTTCTTCTTTAGGCTTCTCTTACATATGCTGAAGCTCAGATGAGAATTGATTCAGCAACCATGAATGATGATATCACCACTAGTCTTCGTGGACTAAATAAGCTAGCTAAAATTCTGAAAAGAAGAAGAATTGAAAATGGGTACTTTTAAAAAACTGTTTTAAAATACATATTAGGATGTGTATCTAATATTAATTAATTAATACATGTTAATATCACAACATATATCAATATTAAGATAACTTGTGAGTTCTATGTAAAATAGTTGATCATGGATGACAATTTATTATTTTTTAAAAACATATTTATTTGAAAGAGAGAAAGAGTGAGATACACACATCTTCCATTTGCTTGTTCAGTCCCCAGAAGACTACAAATATCAGGGATGGGCCAGGCCTAGGCCAGGAGCCCAGAGCTTCATCTGGATCTCTATCATGGATGTCAGAGCCCCAAGTACTTGGGCCATCATCCCCTACCTTCCCAGGTGCATTAGCAGGAAGCTAGATTGGAAGCAGAGCAGCTAGGACTCAAATTGTAGATGCTGAATTTGCAAATAGCAGCTTAACCCACTGTACCAGTATACTGGCTCCACATTTATTACTTGATAAGCTGAATAGAAGCTCTTAAGTGGACACATCCCATCTCTTCTAGATGCCTTCTGAATATTAGCAGTTGGGCTGTAAACTGAACTTTGCTCCGGAATTCTGTCTGGTAAATTGTACTAAAAAATGATGTGCTTGATTTAAAAGTTCTTAAATTTCTAGAAGGTAAGAACACCTTAGAACTTCCATGGTTTGTTTTATTTTTAAATAGTAATGAGTCTCCAGGATGAATATTAATTTTCAGATGTTGAAATAAATATTAGAGTTAGAAGAGATTTAGGAATTGTTCAATGCAACTCCTTCATTTTTTAAATAACTGAAAGATACACAGATGGAATCTTTCCAATGATCTGATGGCAAGTGGCAGCTTAGGGTATTCTAACCATTATGTCATGGTATTTGCCTAATTGCAAAAGGCATAAAGCAAAGAATCCTAAAGTCCTAACCCAACATTGTTGAAAAAAAGCAGTTAAAAATTTCGTTCTTGGGGCTGGTGCTGGTAGTAGTCGTAGGCTGGGACTCCACTGTGGCACCAGGGTCCCCTGTGGATGCCAGTTCATGTACAGGCTGCTCTTCTTCGATCCAGCTCTGGATCTGCTCTAGCCTGGGAAGGCAGTAGAAGATGGCCCAAGTGCGTGGGCCCCTGCCCCTGCGTGGGAGACTCGGAGGAAGCTCCTGGCTCCTGGCTTCAGATCAGCCCAACTCCAGCAGTTGTGGGCATTTGAGGAGTGAGCCAGCAGATGGAGGACATTTCGCTCTGTCTCTCCCTTTCTTTGTAACTCTGCCTCTCAAATAAATTAATATTTAAGTTTTTTTTTTTTATTCTTGAAAAACGGTTATCGGGGGTAGCAAGCACATGAGCCTTTCAGAAGCTGGTCTCTGGGCTCTCATGATCATCAGGGTAGTGTCACAAGTGGTTACTACAAAATGTTATTGTTGGTGAGTACACACTCTACATCTGTACTAGTTCCTAAGATGTACCTATTTAAATTTAGGAAGTGGGCATTTGGTTCAGTGGTTAAGGTGTGACTTGAAATACCCACATTTCATATCGGAATATCTGGGTTCAAGTCCACTTCCAATTCTAACCTTCTGCTAATGTGCACCCTGGGAGACAGCAGGTGATGACTAAGTACTTGGTTCCCTGCTACCCACTAGGGAGGCCCAGATTGATTTCTGAGCTGGTGGCTTCAGACTGACTCATCCCTGGTAGTTACAGGCATTTGGGTAATGAAGCAGTGGGTGAAAGATCTTTCTGTCTGTCCCTCTCTTTATTCTCTCTGACTTTCTAATAAATAAAAATACAGAGATTTTTTAAAAAGGAATTTCTTAGTTCTAGGTTGATCTGCAGCCATTTTAAAGTAATGTTAGTGTATGAAGAAACTTTTTTTAAAAAGATTTATTTATTTTATTTGAAAAGCAGAATTACAGAGAGAGGGAGAGGAATAGTTGGTTCACTCTTCAAATGCCTGCAGTGGATGGAGCTGGGCCAAACCAAAGTCAGGAGCCAGGAGCTTCATCCTGGTCTCCCACAAGGGTGCAGGGGCCAAAGAACTTGGACCACCTTCTGCTACTTTCCCAGATGCATTAGCAGGGAGCTGGATCAGAAATAGGGCAGCTGGGAATCAAACTGGTGCCCACATGGGATGCCAGCACTGCAGGTGACAGCTTAACCTGCTGTGCTACAGCACTGCCCCATGAAGAAACATTATGTTGCCTTGTGGAAATATACTTTTCGAAGGAGAACTGAAGGGGCCAGTGCTGTGGCATAGTAGGCTAAGCCTCTGCCTGTGGCACCAGCATCCCATATGGGTTCTGGTTCGTGTCCCAGCTGCTCCATTTCCAGTCCAGCTCCCTGCTAATGGCCTGGGAAAACAGTGGAAGATAGCCCAAGTGCTTGGGCCCTTGCACCCACATGGGAGACCCAAAAGAAGCTCTTAGCTCCTGAGTTCAGTTTGGCCCAGCTTCGGCCATTGTGGCCATTTAGGAAGTGAACCAGTGGATGGAAGACCTTTCTCTCTGTCTCTTCCTCACTCTGTCTCTAATTCTGCCTTGCAAATACATAAGAGAAATCTTTAAAAAAAAAAGAGTAGTCAACTGCATTAAGAAAAAAAGAAAGAAAACTTAATACATTTAGCCCCTTAGCATAATAAGTTATCTGACACATAGCACTCACATATTAATAGCCGTTGGCACTGATGATCTAGTAATGGTACTAGTTTACCAGTCTGCTCTCTTGATTAAATCTTCCTGGGATGTACTTTTGAGCTGTGGATCTTCTGATGTAGCCAGCCTCCCCAAGGTAGCTTCCTTTTTGCCTCTTTCCAATGTTCCCCACCTCAGTTTATTGCTTTCTTTTTTTATTTTTTTTATTTTTTCTTTTTAATATTTATTCACTTGAAAGGTAGAGTTAGAGAGAGACAGATCTTCCATACACTGATTCACTCCCCAAATGATCACAATGGCCAGGACTGGGCCAGTCTGAAGCCAGGAGCCAGGAGTTTCATCTGCATCTCCCATGTGGGTGTAAGGGCCCAAGTTCTTGGGCCATTCTCTGCTGCTTTCCCAGGCACATTCTCAGGGAGCTGGGTGGGAAGTGGAGCAGCTGGGACTCGAATTGGCGTCCACATGGGATGCTGGTGTTGCAGGCCATGGCTTTACAAACTTCTGTGCCACAACGCCGACTCCCGTTGTTTTCTATAGTAGATAAAGTCCTGCCAGGTGTCTTTATTTGTAAAAGTGAACAATCAATGCTAATAATATAAAAAAGTCACTCAGTAAAAACTCATAGTTTGGGTACAGAAGTTATTCCAGCCCCTAGAAGCATAAGGACTCACATTTTTCTTCTGCAAGTATTACTGTTTTGTTAGATGGGTTTTTATTTTCATTTTTATTTTATTTTTAAAGGTTTATTTCTTTGAAAGGCAGAGTTAGAGAAAAGGAGAGTCATAGAGAATAAGATCTTCTATCTTCTGATTCATTCCCAATATGGCCACAACAGCTGGGCCAGGTTTAAGCCAGGAGCCAGGAATTCCATCGTGGTCTCAGACATTGGTAGCAGGGGCCCAAGCACTTGGGCCATCCTCCACTACTTTCCCAGGCACACAAACTGGGAACTGGATTGGAAGTAGACCAGCCAGGACTCAAACTGGCACCCTTCTGGGATGCCAGCATCACAGATGGTGGCTTTACCTGCTACCCACAACATTACCCCCCCCCCCCCATTTTTAGATTTGTAAAATACTGTTCATTTAGATAATATAAAATGTAGCAATAATCCTAAAGCTTCCAGAATTCTGAACAACTGCTCTGTACTTGCTCAGTTATTTTCTACTTTAAATGAATCATTTGCAGAAAGTTGTGTCTGTACTGGCTTGCTTCATGATTTGCCTCTTTAATTTTCTCTTAGGGCTTTGACTCTTTCTTCTCCAGAAGTTCGATTCCACATGGACAGTGAAACTCATGATCCTATAGATCTGCAGACCAAGGAACTTAGGTATGCACTGTTAAAATTTTGAAATAAAAAGACTAGTATGTGAATAACCAGATCATCTAGTTTTATTAAGGTTATCATTTCTATATATTTTCTTGGCTTGTAAAATACATGGAAAACAGATATCTCACTTTTTTATGTAATACTAGTATCTGGAATATAATAGAAAAAATTCCATTTTTAATTTGTTTGTTTTAATGTAAAGTATATTAGAACTTGACTGATAATAATTCTGGGAAGTAAAAGTAGACTGCCCTGATTAATTTCTTAAGTAGTAAATACATAAAGTGGTAAAATAGAGGAGAGGATTTGAAGCCAGACTGTCTAGGTTTGGATTCCACATCTGCCACTATTACCTGTTTATCGACCAATACATTAACCTCTCCATGCCATGGTGTATTTGTAAGTTACTGCTGAAAGTCATACCTACCTCAAGTCATGCTTCAAGGAACACTGCTTGGATGTTTGTTAATGTTGTCTTGTTTTTTTCTTGATTTAGTTCAGATGCATGAAGCAAGGCTATTTGATTAAATCAGAATTTAGACCTCTGCATCTTTTATGAGGTAGATATAAGATTAATCATGCATGAGTGCTTTTCTAGGAGACAATCAAGGGTTAACTCAGATTCATTTCTTAGAACCACTTTAGTTTTAGACCAAGAATTTCTGAATTCCTGAATGGAACTTCTGTGGAACTATGTCTAATGTTAATATTAACAATAAGCACAATACTAGAAACTTTTTTGAGGAAAAGGTTGCTAGAGTAGAACATCACCTATCTAAGATTGTCCCTGTATGATTGGAAGTTTTCCTACTATTTATACAATCAATATTTGTTAGGAACCTTGCCAAGAAGTCACAGGGTTTTATTATTAAAAATGAGAGCATGAATGAGATTAGTGTCTGTTCAGTGACTTGGAAGGAAGAAAACAAAGCTGTCAGGCAGGCTGCTTGAGTTTAGGTAAAATTGTATGGACTTGGATTCTGAAACTGCTAGTGCCTTGTACCTTGAGTGGAATGATGTTGCACATCTTCAGTTTCCTCATCTGCAGAACAGTGTGTGTGTGTGTGTGTGTGTGTGTGTGTGTGTGTGCGCGCCCTTAGAGCACAGTGCATGACTCATTGTGAATATATCTCCTCAGTCACTGGTGGGGGAAAACTAATTTTTTAAGCCAAAATTTGTATGATCTAAAAAGCTTTTATTTCTTCTGAGTGAAGTTTATGTTTCTAAAATTAAATAAAAATTTCATTGGACCCAGTAAAAGGAGATGAAAATGGTGATGTTTTAGATTTTAGGTACTAATGGCGTTAGTAAAGCTTCTGCTTTTCTTGAGTACAATTTCTAGTCTCCTCTAGCATGTGAGATTTACTCACACAGTAGATCTGTAATAAAAGATTGAAGTGAATGAGAATGCGCATGAGAAACTAAAGAGCCATATATTAAGAAAACGTACATGTGCACACACATGAATGTTTATACAGGAAATGCTTCAGTTATCTTACTGGCTTACTGGTTACCTGTGAGTAAACAGGATGTATAGCAATCTCAGATTTTCTTTCCTCGTTTAATACATTACTTTTTCAATTTGCAGAGAAACAAATTCCATGGTGGAAGAATTTATGTTACTTGCCAATATCTCTGTTGCCAAAAAAATTCATGAAGAGTTTTCAGAACATGCTCTGCTCCGAAAACATCCTGCTCCACCTCCATCAAATTATGAAATTCTTGTTAAGGCAGCTAAGTCCAAGGTAAAAGCTTGCAGCTTGAAAAATCATTTGTATTTGTGTAATGGTCTAGCCATTGTACTGAACACTTTTTATTCACATCTACATAAAACTTATGTTGTTTATTGTTGAAAAATATGGCCATAGTTCTTTTGATGGAAAAAAATTTAACTTAGATATGGTCATCTCTTCCTGCATTGAGGTCGTCTGCTTAGTAAAATCTGTTACTGCCTTTAAAGAACGCTGCATGCTAAAGCCGGATATTCTAGACTAAGTTATTTGCAGTATCTTGGACATAAAAAGTTGTTCTACTATTTTTGTCATTACATTTATGAGGCTACTTCAAAAAGTTCACGTGCTAGAAAGGAATTAAAAGATAACCTAAAAGGAATATCTTGGTGCAAAAAAAATTTGAAATTGGTGCAGTTTGTTCATAATATGTATATTCCACAACTTTCTGAAGACTCCCCATAAATTTTTGAGCCTATAACTTCATGGTTTTTATGAACTACCTAAACAAATATGTTTTTTTGTTTCTCAACTCTGTTAAATCCTGTTAAATTTATGTCATGTCTCTAAGAAGGAAGTTTATTTATTGCACTAATGGAAAAGAGGAAAACTATGGAAAGGGCACCATTTTCTCAGCCCTGCATAACCCCTGTCTCTGGTTAGTGGACTTATTTAGCACACTTGACCTTTGTGGTAATTGTGGCTTATGTTGGTTTTCCTTGGCTCACCTGGCCAGGCTCCATCTTTCCCATCTGGAAGACAACTGCATGGAGTAGCCTGGGCTCTCCAGGCATCATTCTACCACCGTGGTGTTGGTTTCTAATTTTGGCTCAGACTTTTCTGGTGTGCCTACCTCTGTCATATCTATGAGGACTGAATCAACTTCTCACTTCTCTACTTCAGAATTATTTCATAAATTGGGGGATTTGTTCCCATTGTCTGTCATCTTGTTAAGAGCCAGGTAGAGAAAGGAGGGTTTAAGTATTTTTGACTGCTTCTCCCTGTTCCCACTGTTCTGAGTGAACTATAGTGTCCTGTAGTTTGGCCTTTATGTCTACTTTGAATGGATGGAAGATCACTAGAGATGAAAACTTGACATGCTGAGAAAGATTCCAGGTCTGCTTTCTTTGATTTTTTTTCACCCACTCAAACATTAGGCAGAGGCAAATGAGGCTTCAAGAAATAACACGACTGTTACGTTCTCCTTCCCCCACAGGAGACTTCTTCAAGCCTTGATACTTCATGACTCTTAAATACATTCCGAAAGTTTTAACTTTTAGTATTGCACAAAACAGTCATTACTTTTTATGTATGTATTTTAATTTTCCTATATGAAGAATAAAAGGTATAAACATAGAATATGTGGTCAAAAACACTATTGTTTGTTCAGTTGGCTAGTTATAAGACACGCTCGTACTGATTTATAAAAATCTAATATGTTCTTCCCTCTTTTGATTCACAGAATTTGGAAATTAACACTGATACTGCCAAGTCTTTGGCTGACTCTTTGGACCGGGCTGAGTCTCCTGTTTTCCCGTATCTAAACACTCTGTTAAGAATATTAGCCACCCGCTGCATGATGCAAGCTGTGTATTTCTGTTCTGGAATGGATAATGACTTTCATCACTATGGCTTAGCATCGCCAATATACACACATTTTACTTCACCCATCCGAAGGTATTTCCCTTGACGTGAAAGGAGAGAGGAAATTTAAAAGGACATTTTAGTGCTAATGTACTATGGTTCTTATTTCTCCTTTGTACACCTAGATATGCGGATATCATTGTTCATCGGCTGTTGGCTGTGGCTATTGGAGCTGACTGTACTTATCCAGAGTTGACAGACAAACACAAACTTGCAGATATTTGTAAAAATTTGAATTACCGGCACAAAATGGCTCAGTATGCCCAACGTGCATCAGTGGCATTTCACACCCAGGTATTTGCCTTCTACAATAATGCTAGGAGAAAAGAACTTTTGTTTGCTTTTTCTTTAGCAGTTATTTTTCCTAATTTCATAATATTAGAGACTATTTTAAATAAAAAGATTGCATGTTATTTTGCAGTTATTTTTCAAAAGCAAAGGAATAGTAAGCGAAGAAGCCTATATTCTATTTGTAAGAAAGAATGCCATCGTGGTGTTAATTCCAAAATATGGTTTAGAAGGTACAGTCTTTTTTGAAGAAAAGGATAAACCAAAGCCACGGCTTATTTACGATGATGAGGTATAGTATTTCTCATGCTTTTCCTTTTTGGGGAGGAGGGGACACTGTGACAGTTTATAAATGATACTTATAAAGTATAACGTTATTTTTGTATCATACAGTATTTACTTCAGATCTCTAAGTACATGCCAGAAAAATCCACATTGAATTATACTAGCTAAGTTATGGTTTTGTTCATAATTTCTCACCTCAGGATATTTTCCCATATATAAAGGTTGTCCTTTCATACCGTTATCTGACACTGTTACTTCTCTAACTTTGGTAGGACTCTAACTCAGAGATTATTTAAAAAATAAACTGTGCCCAACCATCTTGTGCTCCTCTACTAGACACACAGGCAGTTTGCTAATCAGTAGAGAGAGAATCTTAAGATGAATGAGTACATATTAAGACCACCTTAATCAAAGAAGTATGCACATAAAGAAGTCGTAGTTATGTGAGACTACTAGGTTAGTAGGTTTTGTTAAGTTGAACATCTAGATGCTTATTAATATTGAGGTACTTTTTAAACTTTTACTTTGAAAGATAAATTGTGAAGAATTAGAACAAAGCTTCAATATGAGAATGCAATTAAGAGTGATAATTGTGTTTTGTTTAGATACCTTCACTTAAAATAGAAGATACAGTGTTCCATGTGTTTGATAAAGTCAAAGTGAAAATTATGTTAGATTCATCTAATCTTCAGCATCAGAAAATCCGAATGGCCCTGGTGGAACCTCAGGTTGGATCAGACTTAAAATTTCCAAGTTGCGGTGGAACAAATGGTGAAAATTTGTAAAAGACAGGGATTTCATTGTTTTGGTTTAATGTCAGAGGGAATCCTTTAAGTGTGGAAGCCAAATATTTGCCTAGAAAATGCTTTTTTCCCTGATTTCTTTAGGCCATTGCATCATAGAAACCTAAGATTCTTCTGAAGTTCTCAAAATATCTTTCCATCCTCCTGCCTAATCCTTCTCCCTGAGTTTTGAAATCTGTACTATTGAAGATAAAGTGTAGGTGTTTTCAGCTCAGACATTGGTTCCTTTTTTTGTTTTTTGGTTGTTTTATAAAAATTTTTTTAAAGATTTATTTATTTAAGAGACAGATCTTCCATCTGCTGGTTCAATCCCCAAATGGCCACAACAGCTGGAGCTAGGCTGATCCAAAGCCAGGAACCAGGAGCTTCTTCTAGGTCTCCCACATGGGCGCAGGGGCCCAAGGACTTGGGCCATCTTCTGCTGCTTTCCCAGGCCACCATCAGGGAGCTGGATTGGAAGTGGAGCAACCAGGACATGAACCAGCGCCCACGTGGGATGCCAGCACCGCCCGCATAGGCTTAACCTACTAAGCCACTGTGCCAGCCCTGAGACACACTGGTTCTTAACCTCAACGTACCTGGGGCTCCTGTAGCTCTCTGTCAAACACACTAACTGCACCAGTGTAAACTGAACATGGGAAAGGCTGTGTTGCAGTTAAAACACTGTCAAATATGACATGCCTCTCACCTGTTGAGAACCAGGTCTACTATTTGAACCATTATGACTTTGTGTGTAAAACCTTTATTAACACCTATTACGTGTCTCAATTCCTACATCTTTTTAAACTTGAAAGTGGAAATGGGGGAGGGAAGGAGTATTTCTTATATTACACTTTTAAAATCACCTGATTTTTTCCTCCATTTGCATTATTTTAGATACCAGGGATAAGCGTTCCTATGGATATTTCAAATATGGATTCTGAACCAGGGAAAAAGAAGAGGAAGCTTGAAAAATAGCTACATTCGAGAAAAATTTTCAAAAACTGGTTTAAAAAAAATCTTGAGAGACCACTTCTAAGCCTAAGTGTGTGTGATAGTTTGTTACTTTTAAGTATATTTTAATAATTTTAGAAATTTGCATTTTTATTGAACTGTTGACTGTCTTTATCATACCACTTTGTTTCCAGATTGAACAGAACTATTTATGCGAAAAATTCAGTTGATTATCCATCACTTAGTGACAGGATGAGCAACGTCAGGGATCTGTACAGATCATTGAAATGGAGCACTCATCTGCTCATTGAAGGGCAGATTAATGTTACATAACCACTTCAATATTGGTAGGAAAAAACCCCATCATTTTCCTAACACAGGAAAATGAGCATTTGAGAAGGAACAATCTTTCCAAATCTTGAAAGCCATCAGTGTTTGGTATTTAATCTTTTTTGCCATCTTTAATTTACCTAACTTACATTAAGTATTCCCTCTACTGTTTTTTAAGTGGTCCTTGCACAGCTATGTTTAGCAATTGGTAGGAAACCAAGATAAAAACAGGATAATGAGAGCTGACTTGGAAAATACTTTTTTTATTACCAGGTAGTAAGTGTGATTATATTCCTTGACTTTCAGCTCTAATCTCTCCCCAGGATAGGGAATCAGCTCAGAGAAATACAGATGGTAAATGTCTACATCTTTTTATCTTGTAAAAACATAATGGGTTTTAAATTCCATTTGTATCAGATTATATAGGAGAGGAGGAATTGTATAAGAACATAATAAAAGGAACAGATTTAAATTAGTTTTATAATTTGGTGTGTCAGATTGACTACTTTCCTATTAACCATAGAGATTACCAATGACTAAATGTGTTTTCAGTATTTTGAGATACAGTTTCTTAAAACCTTTGACTTGTTAAAAATTTTTATTTGAAAGAGTGACAGAGAGAGGGACAGAATTTCCATCCTCTAGTTCACTCCCTCAGTGGCCACAAGGGTTGGGACTAGGCCAGGCCAAAGCCAGGAATTCTGAGTCTCCTATGTCGGTGGCAGGGTTCCAAGTCCTTGGGTCATCTTCTGTTGCCCTCGCAAGCGCATTAGCAGGGAGCTGACTGGAAGTGGAATAGCTGGAACTCGAACAGGTAGTCTGATACGGGATGCCGGTGTTGCAGGCAGTGGCTTAACCCTGCCGTCTGCAATGTCAGCCCCAAGACCTTTGACTTGGCTTTTCAATTCCTAAAGCATTTGATGGTGTTATCAGGTCAATCATCAGTCAAGTAAACTCTCCCTTCAAAGAGCTTGCAGTATGAGAAAAGACTGGCAGACAAATCAGTGGTATCCTAAGTGACTACAATTAACAATATTTACAATTATTTAGGCATTCAGTAATGGTTGAGTGTTCCCAGTTTTCTGTTATTGAAGGAAACATCCATGCACTGAGGCAGAACTCATTTTAACTGAAGGGAAACAGCCTGAAGTAGTTTTTGATCCAAGTAAAGTGGGGACAATGACTAACATACTCAAGCAATATGGGGTACTTACTTCTGCCGTAGCTGTAGTGAGTGAAGCAGCCAGACAGTATGTAAACAAGTGAGCATGGCTACACTCCGATATCTTTCTCAATAGATATGGATATAAGTTTCAAATAATTATCCTGCATCAAGCAAGTTAGTAGGGAGCTGGGTCAGAAGCAGAGCAGCCTTGACCTAGACTGGCTGCTCCACTACGGGGTGCTGGCATTGCAGTCACTGCACCACAAATGCTAGCCCCATGATTTTTTTTTTTTTTTTTTTTGACAGGCAGAGTGGACAGTGAGAGAGAGAGACAGAGAGAAAGGTCCTCCTTTGCCGTTGGTTCACCCTCCAATGGCTGGCAAGCTGCGGCCTGCGCACCGCGCCGATCCGATGGCAGGAGCCAGGTGCTTCTCCTGGTCTCCCATGGGGTGCAGGGCCCAAGCACCTGGGCCATCCTCCACCGCACTCCCTGGCCACAGCAGAGAGCGGGCCTGGAAGAGGGTCAACCGGGACTAGAACCCGGTGTGCTGGCGCCGCAAGGCGGAGGATTAGCCTAGTGAGCCGCGGCGCTGGCCCCCATGATCCTCTTTTTAATATCAAAAATAATGAAGTTTATGGCTCATAAAGTAATGAGAGTGGAGAGGAATTTTAAATGCTGATTAAAATAACTGCTTCATTCATTCTTGACTTGTGCTAGTAAAAAATGATAGCCAGGGAAGCTCTTATCCTTATCACCTAGAGCTCCTCTTTGATTTGTAGCAGTTGTATTTTTCTTTTTTTTAAATTGTATATAATTGGCCGGCGCCGCGGCTCAATAGGTTAATCCTCCACCTAGCGGCGCCGGCACACCAGGTTCTAGTCCCGGTCGGGGCACCGGATTCTGTCCCGGTTGCCCCTCTTCCAGGCCAGCCCTCTGCTGTGGCCAGGGAGTGCAGTGGAGGATGGCCCAGGTGCTTGGGTCCTGCACCCCATGGGAGACCAGGAAAAGCACCTGGCTCCTGGCTCCTGCCATCGGATCAGCGCGGTGCGCCGGCTGCAGCGCACTGGCCGCGGCGGCCATTGGAGGGTGAACCAACGGCAAAGGAAGACCTTTCTCTCTGTCTCTCTCTCTCACTGTCCACTCTGCCTGTCAAAAATAAAAAAATAATAAATAAAAAATAAATAAATAAATTGTATATAATTTAAGAGGCAGAGTTACAGAGAGAGGCAGAGACAGAAATGTCTTCCATCTAGTAGTTCACTTCCCAAATGGCTGCAATGGCTGGAGCTGGGCCAATTTGAAGCCAAGAGCCTGGAGCTTTTTCCAGGCCTCCCCCGTGGGTGCAGGGGCCCAAGCACTTGGGCCATCTTCCACTGCTTTCCCAAGTGCATCAGCAGGGAGCTGGATCGGAAGTGGAGCAGCCAGGACACAAACTGGCACCAATATGGGATGCCGGCACTGTAGGTAGAGGTTTAGCTGTCTATGCACAGTGCCAGCCTTGCAGCAGTTGTTTTTATGTGAATTTATTATTCACTCAACACCCTATGTAACTAAAGACTCAGCTTCCTAATATGGTTAATGGGTGGCTGAAGATGAGCTAGGTATACAAGAAGGAATCTGTAGGCTTCCTAGGTACAAGATAAGGATGAAAAAGACACACTGATAATGTTTGTCTTTATTTCCTCAGGCTACACATAAATCATTCCTTTTTTGGGAGATGATTAGTACATATGTATGTTATCCAATGATACTTCCCAACATTATATCCATCTGCTCCCAACACTGATTTAAGTTTTTCAAAACTAGTTGTATGTGACTCACATACCTGCCTTACTTCATGCATCTGAGCCCTACTGGAACTCTGCTCTCCCAGTAGCCAGTTTTTCTCTGGGTTCTCCCATGTTCTTTCCTCTGCCTAGCTGGGTCTGAGCTAGAAAGGTTACCCCACTCAAGGGATGGAGGTATTTATTTTACAAAGCACACAGTGCCCCTTTGTAACACATTTTTACCTGTTATCAGAACCACTGCTAAATCCAGTGCTGTTGAGGCTTCATAAGCAGTGTATTGATCCTGTAGAACAGGAGCCAGTCAGCAGCTCTGTTAGTTTTCTAGCATTAAACATGTCACTCAAGGTAAGTACAAAAATATTTATTAATAAAAAATATACTTGTAGTTCAGCAACTTAAGGTTCCAGGAGTTGCTAATATGTTAACCAGATTAAGCCCTTCATTTTTCACATTAAGGAGGGAGAGCAAAATCTCAGCATGTTACTTGAAGTAGTTTCTTCCCAGGCACCATCACATTTTTGATTTTGTGTATGAAATATGGAAGGAGCTGCGCAGTGAGTCTTTGTTTCTGACAGAGGTATTCTATGGGCTGCCGCATGGAGAGGGACTTGCTGTTTTCATCCAACACCTCTGTGTTGTGTGGTCTTGCTGTGAAGAAAGAAGGAAATGCCTTGTTTTTAAATAGCATCATTCAAGGATGCAACTACTATGGGAACTATTTTTAAAACTTGAAATGAAATTTCTTACTAAAGATACAGAAAGAATTCTTCCTGTGTCTTAATGCCGACTATCATAATCAACTTTGTTCAAGTTGATCTTGAAAAAGAGATCTGTTCTTACATTAAAACAGAATTGCAAAATGGAAGAAAGGAAAAATAATTTCATTTAGAGTTGTGGTCATTTATACATTTGCTACTGTTTCTAGCGTTTATTAATAAATTGGCATATAAAATCAAAGAATGTCTTGAGAAGTGCCTAAAAGTACGATGGGTTTCTTCAAGTATAAATAGATAGTAGTAATCACTAATCACCATACCTAGAAGGCTGAGTAAATGTCCTGTACAAACACATTGTAAGTTACTTGTGTGTTCTTTCATTCAGAGCAAATAATGTTCAAAGGCTACTGAATCTAAGAAAACAGCCCTTTTTGTGTTTTTAATTAACGTGAAGTCTGAATTGTAGTATTTCTCAGAATCTAAATTTTTATATGCTTAGCTTCCAGATATCTGCAATATTTCACAGACAGCAAAATCAACATTAGGGGCAAAAGACTGACTCCCATATTCCTTTGTAAGGAACTGATGTCAAGCACCCTTCCAAAACTGAACTGGTCCTCCCTCTCCTACAACCTCTTCTCTTACCTTCTCCCATAGTGAAAGAGCTAGAAAAGTGAAGTGTGTACATTTTTAAAAACCAGCTTTTGCCACTGTTAAATAAGCAGGACATAAACATACTTAACTTGAAACAGAGTGGAGGGAAAATAGATTATAAAAAGTTGGAGTTAGTAAATACTTTTCATCTATAAACTATTTTAAGCTATTTGTATTTTCTGCATACCTTTGTATTAAAAACTTGAGGTTTGTTTTCAATTTCAAAGGATTGCACATCACTTTCTGCTCCAACTGCATCCATGAGATTGCTTCCACAAGTGTGCGTATTATAGCCGCTATCCATCTGACATGAGGAAGAGGAAAAGAGAAAAAAACCCTAAGGATTAAAATGGCAAACTCTAGTTCACTTATCAATAACCCATAAAATACATTGTGAGAACTCAGAAGTTAAATAGTTGAGTGAATAACTATATAGTGTCATTTACTGCATTTGAAAAGTAATATGTAATATGGATCACAATAAAATTTTTAAAAAACATAAAAGGTAGTTCTGTACAGAACTGATGATTTTTCAGTGTAACTTCATAATTCCTTCCAGTGAAATATATCTTGTAATTCCCTTTAGAATCAATTAACAAGCCATTGAAAACATGTTTTCTTTCCTGTTACTCTGTGATCATACCCAGTAGAAGAAAATGAGTGTTATGATCAATTTTACCCTCTAACTCATTTTCCCAGTTTGTCTCTAAATGGCTTAGTTGTAACTCTAAATTTTACCTAAGAGGTATGCTGCCTTTAAAAGTATTCAAAATAACACACATTCTTAAATGTGGGTTACATCACACCCAGTTGTTCATAATCGTGCCACAAGTATAATGAATGGCTCTACATTGATAGTTCAGGTTTTTAAGGTAACAAAAATTCTAGCATTCTAAGACACACTGTTCTAATCCATAAGAGCAAAATAAAGATTCTAACAAACTTCCAGTTGTGCATGTCAAGTAGTCCCCTTTTATCTGCAGGGGATATGTGAAACCTCCCAGTGAATTCCTGACATATATAATATCTGGATGCTTATATATACTATTTTTCATATATATATTCACATTACAAATGTGAAAACATGCAAAAGTTAAGGTATATTTTTCATGAGCCCCTTTTATGTATATAACTTTTATTAATTAAATATAACTTTTAATTTACAAATTAGGCACAATGAGAGACTATCTTGACATTTATAACACCTTTCACCTGATCCTTTGCAAAATTAGGATCAGAGGGAAGACTGACCATGAACTTTTACTATTCTCACCAACACAGAATAGCCTAGAAGGTAAACTCTGCCACCCGTAACTAAGAAAAATGTGCCAGTTTTTTTGGATATATGCATATCTGCTCACCACTAGGAGTCATGTGCCATTAGTATGAAAGTCTTGTGACATACAGAATTTAACATCAGTCATATCTCAGGAAACACCTTGTCTGTATCAGTAGATATTTGATCAAAAATATAAATAACAGATAGCTTCCAAAGAATCTGCTAATTACTCTTCTAATATTTATCACTGCCAGCTAAGTGGCTCCTAACTCACTGCTAATACTTGACATTACATCAGGAGAAAGGTTGAATCTGTCAGGCTCTGGGAAGAGCAGTATCAATGGGAGACCTGTTAAGATGGTAGCAGATGGGGCTGGCATCTCAAATCAAGTGCTGATTCAAGTCCCGGCTGATCCAGCTTCCTGTAAATGTACCTCAGAAGGAAGCAGATGGCTTAAGTGGCTGGGACCCTGCCACCAACATTGGAGATGTGGACAGAGTTCCTGGCTACTGGCTTCTGACTGGCACAAGCCCAGCTGTTGAGGCCATTTGGGGAGTCAGCAGATAGAAGATCTGTTTCACTGTCTCTCATCTAGACAATTACTCATGTCACTGCCCACTGTGTACCAACTAGGCAACACAGATCATCATACTCTCTGCAGATGTAGTGGTACTCATCAGTTCCATTTTATAGCTGGGGAGGAGGGAGAAGATGCTAAAAAAAATCATGAAAAAGTCATGCCCTCGTCACTATCAGGGTATCTTGCCTTAAGATCCCACAGCTTGGGATTAAAAGAACTTGTCGCTCCCCCATTCGTGGAGGAACGACACAGGACCCTGCGCTGTTCTTTTGTCTGCTCGGCCCTTCCCGGGTTTGCTGTTGGTCCTTCCCGGGTTGGCTGCCGACCCCTCCACCTCCGTGGAGGGGCGGCTCCCCCTGCCACTTTCCCCACTTCCACGGGGCAGTGGCACACCGCCGGCCGGCTCTCTTGGGGGCTGCTCAGATGTTATCCAGATGTTCCTGGTGCATGTTGTCTCTCTCCTCCTTTATAGTCCTCTTCCACCAATCCCAACTCTGCTACCCGCACGCCAAGCACGCTGCTCTCCTCCAATCAGGAGCAGGATCAGCTCCTGCAGCTTATCAGTCAAGTTGGTGAGAGGCAGTTGTGTAGAAGTTGTTTACTCCCTTTCAGCGCCATATTGTGGGAGAGCAGATGCATAGAATAAATCCCAATTCCAGTAACTTAGTCTAGTCCGAGTTGCTCCCCACAGAACTCAAATTCAAACTTAACTCTAATTGCCCAGTTTCTGTTCTTCCAACTGAGGGTGTCTCTCTGTTGTCATCCTACACACACCACATAAACCAGATGCCACCGTCTTCTGAAAACTTTAAAAGGTTTGCAATAGGCAACAGTTGTGTCTTACAAAGGCATTTTTGATATATGGCCTCCATGTCAGCCCACCCTCATTCTCAGTCCCCCTTGCTGGCTACCATTCAGAGGTCTCCCCTTAGAATCTACTGATTGAAAACCAACAGTGTTCAGGGACTGTTTACTCAGGCTATGATCATATTATTATCCTTAATCCTGTTTTCCTATCTCCAGTTTAAAGAGCTAACAAGCTGAAACAAGTTGCCACTTCTTGATATTTATAAAAGGGACAGAGCTGGGCTGTAAGCTGAAACCTGCCATTATGCTCCCAGCAACCCGTGTTCTCTATCTACTGCTATGCTGCTGGTTTCCAGGGCTCTAGATTCTACCCTAAACTGCATGCCTCAATCCCCTCATCTATAAAATGGATCACAGATAAAGATAGCTACTCCATTTGTAAGCTATCATGGTGATTAGACTCAGTGCAAAATGCTTTGCAGACTATAGTACTTGAACTCATAATTGATACTTTTTAAAGATTAATTTCTTTATTTAAAAGGCATAGTTACACACACACACACACAAATAGGAAACAAAAAAGAAAGGCAGAATTACAGAGAAGAGAGATCTTCCATTTGCAGGTTCTATCCCTAAATGGTCCCAACAGCTGAAGCCAGGATCCAGGAACTCTATTAGGATCTCCCATGCGGGTGCAAGGGGCCCAAGTACTTGGGCCATCTTCTGCTTTCCCAGGGCATTAACGGGGAGCTAGATTGCAAGTGGAGCAGCTGGGACTCCACATGGGATGCTGGTGTCACAGGTGGTGGCTTAACCCATTGCCCACAGATACCTCGTATTAACAACTATCCTGCCAATCTTAACTATTTAAAAATCCTCTCCCTCTCTTCCTCATTTAAATATACTGTTTCTAAGTAAAAAGCAAATTACAAAATGATCTTGGACTTGTTATTCTCCTCAGTTATTGTCTTTCCCCTCACAAGTAACCTTCTTCAGAGAGCTTTATTTCATTAATTCACCTCCATTTGCTTTGTATCTCCTTACCTCAAGCCTGTTCAGTTACCAGTTCCTTCTATTATTAATGCAACAGCCATGTTTCAAGCTCTCTATTCCTTGCTCCTATTTGGCCAGTACTAACCCTTCTTTCCTGTGTGAGATGCTCCAAGACACCATGCTTTCCTAGAGTCTTTTCCTCCTCTTTGGTTGGTTGGTCTCAGTCTCCTTCAAGAGCTCTGCGTCCATTATCCAACCCCTGAATGTTTCCTCAGGGCTCCAAATCTTGACCCACTTGTTCTCACTATATACAGTCCATCTGGTTGAATCTACCTATGTATTCATTATACAAATATTTAATGAGTAGCTATTATTTACCAGGGCTTTTTTTAAAATATAAATAAGCATTGGGGATAAAGAAAAACATACCTGATTGCTGGATTAATAGTCTGGAAAGAACACCAAATGCTCTTGGAGTTATGAGAGCATTTAATGAGGTCTAGCCTGGCTAGTGCGATCAGGGAAGCCTTCAGGGAATATGTGAACAGGTGAGGTGGGATAGAAAGAGATTCTACACAGTCTGTGCAAAGGCCCTTTGCCAGGAGGAAATACAGCAATTCAAAACTCTCGAAGGCCAGTGGGACTGAAACAAAGAAAATGAGGTGAAACAAGTTGAAGACGGAGAGTAGGGGAAGGGCTAGACCATGCAAAGCCTTGCTTGGACACCCACATCTCATATCACACTGCCAGTTTGAGTCCCAGCACCTCTGCTTCCAATCTAGCTTCCTGCTAATGCTTCCCAGGAGGCAGCAGATGATGGCCCAAGTGCTTGGGCCTCTGCCCTCCAAGGAAGAGACCCAGATGGAGTTCATGGCTCCTGCTTTGGCCTGGTCCAACACTGGCTATCATGGGTTTGGGGGAGTGAACCAGCGGCTCTGCCTTTTGAAAGATGAACATACATAACACAATGATGGGTATATGTAAACTTGAGAAAATCTCCCAAAAAATTAGAAAAGGAAAATAAAAAAAATGCATAGACATAGTAAAGAAAACTAGAGAATCTAAAGGTGTTTCACAGAATAAAAATTACAAGAGAGAAATATTGAGATTTTATTCAATAAAAGGTCCAAGAAGTAGAGAGTGAAAGTCTATAGACCATTAGGGCATTCTGTGTGCTTGGTACAAAGGATGACAAGAAACCTACACCAGGGCTGGTGCTGTGGCATAGCAGGTAAGGCCGCTGCCTACAGTGCCAGCACCAGTTTGAGTCCCAGCTGCTTCACTTCCAGTCCAGCTCTCTGCTATGGCCTGGGAAAGCAGTGGAAGATGGTCCAAGTCCTTGGGCCCCTGCACCTACGTGAGAGACCCAGAGGAAGCTCCTGGCTCATGGCTTCGGATTGGCTCAGCTCTGGCCATTGCAGCTATTTGGGGAGTGAACCAGCGGATGGAAGACCTGTCACCTGCCTGTCTCTCTGCCTCTGCCTCTCTGTAACTCTTTCAAAAAAAGAACACCAGAGAACACCCCTGAAATTTCAGAAATCTGTGGAAAAATAGAGTCTACGCATATCCAGAGAGGAAAAAAGAGACCATGAGCAGATTTAGCACTGGCATAGTTCCAGATCTCCCAAGAATAATACTGCAATAAAATGAAGCAACACCTCAACTATACAAGGCAATTATTTCTAAATTCTCACATGTAAGAAAAAAGGAATATATCAGACCTGCAGTGTCTTAAAAATGTTTCTTCTTCAAAAAGCCTTAAGAACAATGTGTTCTTATAAAATGAGAAGTAAACCAGGAAAAAGAAAAAGGCCCAGAAAACAAGATACAGAACACAGGAGAGGTTTGTGGCACACTCCAAGGTGATGATGAAGGGGATCAACCCACAGTGATTCCCAGAACTCAAAAGGTTCTGGGAAACTATGGCTGCGTGTGCATGCTTTAAAGCTAACTAACTGGTAGAAAAAAATCCATGAGAACATTTTTAGCCTACAAATAGTTGTGCAAAAAGCAAGCATTATGATGTGAGGGCCAAATTAAAACAGACTACTATGTAGATATCACAGCTAAAACTATATTTTAAAAGGAAGAGCTTTGCAATGGTAAGGGAAAGACAAAAACAAAATGGAATACTCTTGCAGTTATGCAAACACAGACTGGATGACAACTTAATGGAGACTGCAATTATAGAATACGGACTTCCAAGGGGTAGTTGGATTTGATTATTAAGGTGTATTTCAACAGAAGTGCTTTGTAATTTCTATGACTATATGTGCTTTTCCTACTTGGGAAACAACCTTAAAAGCTAAAATTTATAAATGTGATTTTGTGTGTGCATCCAAGGAATACAGAATTCAGAACAGGTAATAGAGGCATAAAAATATGAGCAAAAGCTTGTATTTAATTTTCAGTCATTTAGAATCCTTACAAGAGTTTTGAACTTTTGCAAGCCAAACTCAACAACACTAAAGCATTACAGGTTTTTGTGAGAATTAAATGAACTTACTTATCTGTACAAAAAAAGTGGTTAGAAAAATGCCTGGCATGGAAAGCCAAGACACTCTGGGGGAAAAAAAAAAAAAAAAAAAAAGAAGACCTAAATGAAAGATCTCTGTGAGTGAGATCCCAGTGGAAAGAATGGGGCCATCAAAGAAGGAGGTACCTTTCTCTGAAGGGAGGAGAGAACTTCCACTTTGACTATGACCCTATCTGAATAAGATCAAAGTCGGTGAACTCAAAAGGCTTCCATAGCCTTGGCAACTCATGACTAGAGCGTAGGAAGATTACTGACACCATAAACAAGAGTGACAATTTGTTAAGTCAACAACAGGAGTCACTGTGTACTTACTTCTCATGTGGGATCTGTCCTTAATGTGTTATCCAATGTGAAGTAATGCTATAATTGGTACTGAAACAGTATTTTACACTTTGTGTGGCTATGTGGGTGCAAACTGGTGAAATCTTTACTTAATATATACTAAATCGATCTTCTGTATATAAAGAGAATTGAAAATGAATCTTGATGTGAATGGAATGGGAGAGGGAGCGGGAGATGGGAGGGAAATTATGGGGGTGGAAGCCAATGTAATCCATAAACTGTACTTTGGAAATTTATATTTACTAAATAAAAGTTAAAAAAAAAAAAAAGTGCCTGGAGAGTAATCTATGCTTCCAGTGCATAAAGAGCAGCCATGAGCTGAGGGACGGCCTCTCTCTGCAAAAAAAAGAAAGGTGCCTGGGACATCAAAGCACTGTGTAAGCATAACTATGAGACGGCATAAACTTAAAGAACACAGACTCTACAGCCAGAATGCCAAGATCAGATCTCCACTACTTACCAGTTACATAGAGCTTTAGTCTGTTTACTTACTTTTCTCATAAGTAAAATGGCTATAATACTTCACCTAATAATTTCACAGGATTGTTGTGAAATCCAAACAAATTAACACATGTAAAGGGCTCAAAATAAGTGCCTGGCATAAACAAAGGTACTTCAAAAAGTTTGTGAAAACACAGATAAGTAGGGGGGCCCAGCATAGAGGGTAGAGTAGTGAGTAAAGCTGCAGCCTATAATGCCAGCGTCCTATGCGGGAGCCGGTTCATGTCCCAGCTATTCCACTTCCGATCCAACTCCCTGCTAATAAGTAGTAGAGGATGGCCCAAGTGTTTTGGCCCCTACCACCCATATGGGAGGCCTGGATGAAGCTTCTGGCTCCTGGTTCTCTCTGTGTAACTCTTTTAAAATAAAGAAATATGGCCAGCACCGCGGCTCACTTGGCTAATCCTCTGCCTGCGGCACCGGCTCCCCGGGTTCTAACACCGGCTGGGGTGCCGGGGTCTGTCCCAGTTGCTCCTCTTCCAGTCCAACTCTCTGCTGTGGCCCGGGAGTGCAGTGGAGGATGGCCCATGCACCCGCATGGGAGACGAGGAGGAAGCACCTGGCTCCTGGCTTCAGATCGGTGCAGCGCCGGCCGTAGCGGCCATTTGGGGGGGGTTGGGGAGGACCAATGGAAAAGACCTTTCTCTCTGTCTCTCTCTGTCTAGCTCTGCCTATCCAAAATAAATAAATAAATAAATAAAATAAAAAAATAGATCTTTAAAAAAAAAAATTGGCAAGCAGGGATGGGAGTTGTGGCGCAGCAGTTAAGTCTACATCCCATATCAGAGTGCCAGGGTTTGCGTCCCACCTTTACTTTCAATCCAGCTTCCTGCTAATGTGAACCATGACATGCAACAGGTCCCTGCCACACACATGGGAGACATGCATGGAGTTCCAAGCTCCTAGCTTTGGCCTGACCCAGCTCTGGCTTGTGGAGTTAACCAGTGGGTGGAGATCTTTCTCTTTCTGCCTCTCTTTGCGTGTCACTGTTCCTTTCAAGTAAGTGAAAATAAAGTTTAAAACTTTTTGTACACGTTTTCCATAAACTTTTTAAAATTTGGGTAGAAGATGCTACATAAATATTATGTTGAAAGAATTTCCCTTTAGGCTATTTTGAAGTTCTTTCAAAATTTTAGCTCAAAGAATATTGCAATTAACTGAAGACATGTCCTTGGAAAGTAAGTGCTGGTAACTATGTTTGTATGTATCTGTCAGATGAAGCAAGTTTCTCTGGATCTGGACATTTCAAATTAAAAGTATATGATTACATGCAAAAATTCCAGCTATAAGTCATGTTTTTCAATGTGATTATTCCCCCTGAATCACATAAAGGTACAAAAACTGCCTTATTTTCAGAATACAAATAGTATACTGGAAATTGCTTTTCTTTGACATTAGATCTATATGAAACACAGCTGAATCCTGAGCAACTGCCTGGCTCTAGAAGTCTGTGAAAGGCTTCACTGCTTTTCTGCTCTCATTTTCCCTAGTCCAAATAAGTATGTTAATGTGAATATTAAATATACGTAATCAGTCCTAATGAAAAGTATTAACCCTCTTAGCAGGATTTGGTATTGATATTTTTAAAAGCTATGTAATGCTACAGTCTTCACACTTATTCCCTTTCTTCTTTTAAGCCATAACCCTAAAAAAGGATAAAAAATACCAAGATAGGTAAATAGAGGGCTGTGGAATATTCAAGTACCTTACCTGAATGTTACTGTTTTCACAAGGAATGACACTGCTTTCTGCGAGAGGTGACATGCACATCTGAGAGTTTTCAATACTGAAGGCAATTCCATTCACAAAATCAGCCATGGGCAAACTCTCACTATCAACCGGCTCCTTAATCCAAGTGTTCTCATCTGCTGTCTCTGTAGGATCAACCATATCTACAGTGTCATTGTCCTTCTCAGGTTCAACATCCTGCAACAGTGCCAGCTCTTTCTCAGAAGCGCTGGACTGGTTCTGGGTGATGGACATGGCAGTCACCACTAGATGTGTGCCATGTGCAGAGGTGTCAGGATTCACCTGCCGCAGGTGCACTCCAGCAGCACCCAGGGCTGGCGATGAGACATCTGAGGAAGGAAGATTCTCTTTATCTTCTTCATCTTCACTGTGAGCCTCGAGAGTAAGGGGCATCCGAATCAGTGAGCTTCGATACTGGGTACCGCCTCGACACATCTGGAGTCTCATGGGAGACCAGTTTTTGATTGGTGAGCAGCCTTCTATGTAAGGACTTCGGATACATGGATTAGAAATTCCATGAGCATTTGCACAAGATGAAGCATCAGGAGAATGAAAAGCAAACTTCCTTTGTTCTAAAAGATTGGGAGGCAAAAAAATCACATCATAAAAACAGGGACATGGAAGAGCTGTTACTAAATGGTAATCATGTTTCAAGCCAGAAAAACTGGATTTTCTGTAGCAGTTGTGCTGCTGTGGAAGTGAAATTTTGGTAAAAACAGCAGCACAATTTAATGTGTTTCAATAAGGATGAAGGACTTCAAAAATAATTTCACTGGTATTTTCCCAAGTTCACTTAAAATATTTTACCCCTTGAGAATTACTTCTTTGTAAGCATAATGCTATTATACCAGTAAGGTTCATGTACAAAGATCCCAAGCAAATCAACTGAAAGCTATATCTTACCTGGTAAATGAAATATGGGAAAAATCCATGTGTTTATGTAAAACACAGTAAGTAGTATTAAAAGGCAGAAAAAAAAAACTGAAAAATACTATATGCAATGAAGAGTCCAACAATGATAATCAAAATGCTTTAAAGCAATATTTTTGATAACTTCATTAACTTAAAAAAAGCTTTTAAAAATTGGCTAAAACACATAAGCGACCTTCCCAGTGGTAAATAAACCTAAGTGTTTAGCCATGCAAGTAATAAAATATATAGAAGATAAAGCAATGAGAAACCATTCACTTAATAACAATACTTGAGTCTGAACCAACAAAAACCCCCATCAAAAAAAAAAAAAAAAACATGGCCAATAAACACTTGGAAAAAGTCAGGATCACTAATGACTGAAGATATAAAAATTAAAGCAGTACAAGATCTTAATGTGTTAAATTGGCAAACATCAGAAGATAATACCAGTGTTTCTGGATGGGGAGAAAGGACTTCCTTATACACTCGCTGATGAATATTTCCATTGGCACAACCTTCCAAGAAGAATGTTTGGCAAAATTCATCAAGACCCTAACACTCATTATTTTGAGACATACCTGAGAGTGGCGTCTTTCCTATCTGAAATGCAATCGGAGAGAAAGTGGGTGAAGAAATCGGGGAAGGACTAGCTACGCTTCCCAAACTGTATTTCTTTGCACTGCCCTGAATAGGGCTAGAAGAAAACTGCCCCTAGGATAAAAACAAATAATAAATTGGGGTAATTCTATTCTTCAGCTCAGTGACACACCACATACTACTTGTTTTCATTTTCAAAACACTTTTGCACTTGATCTTAGCAAACGATCGAGAAACAATCAAAATACCTCTATAAACTAGGAATTGTTCACAAGAAGAACCAAAAGGCATCTCTTAAAAAGACAACCAACGACTGCTACAAAAATTTTGAAATAGAGTATGGTAGTGAGTAAATGCACGGTGTAAAACAAACTATTCAATTTCCAACCAAGCAGCTGGCTATGAAACATTTTATGTAATATACTCCATGAATGCCCATCTAGTTGTGTTATACTGTTAATCCTAACTGATGTGGTTCCACCAAGGTCCTACATCATTCCTTAAGACTCATGTTGAATTTGGTCATCTCCTATATCTACAGATACAAAATCAGAGAGTCTGGCCAAAAGCATTGCCATGACTAACGACAATACGTGAATGAGGTTAATATACATGACGTATAATACTCAAAGGACAACTATCTTCTTGAATACAGTTATGAACATCTTGGTCCAAGTTCATCTACAACAAAATAACCAGACACTTTTTAGTCTACTTCTTACCGAACCTGGTGTCTGCACAGGGCTCCTACACCGTACGGGAGATAAATCTATTGAATAAAAAACCTCGAGTGATGTCTGAGCACCACTGTGTGAACCACTGGGAGAACCTGGAGGTAAGGAGTCAGAGATGCTTCCATTCCCATCTAGAAACAGCTTTCTTCTGAGGGATGACGAACTGAGGTTCCCAGGAGACTGATCAGCAAATTCATCAGCTCTAAAATAGTCACCTATATTTAATGATAACAGA